CCAGCTCTGTATGTGTAACACTCACCTGGTTTATCCAGCTCTGTATGTGTACACTCTCCTGGTCTATCCAGCTCTGTATGTGTACATTCACCTGGATTATCCAGCTCTGTATTGTACACTCACCTGGTTTATCCAGCTCTGTATGTGTACACTCACCTGGTCTATCCAGCTCTGTATGTGTACACTCACCAGGTGTATCCAGCTCTGTATGTGTACATTCACCTGGTTTACCCAGCTCTGTATTTGTACACTCACCTGGTCTATCCAGCTCTGTATGTGTACACTCACCTGGTTTATCCAGCTCTGTATGTGTACACTCACCTGGTTTACCCAGCTCTGTATTTGTACACTCACCTGGTCTATCCAGCTCTGTATGTGTACACTCACCTGGTTTATCCAGCTCTGTATGTGTACACTCACCTGGTTTATCCAGCTCTGTATTTGTACACTCACCTGGTCTATCCAGCTCTGTATGTGTACACTCACCTGGTTTACCCAGCTCTGTATTTGTACACTCACCTGGTCTATCCAGCTCTGTATGTGTACACTCACCTGGTTTATCCAGCTCTGTATGTGTACACTCACCTGGTCTATCCAGCTCTGTATGTGTACACTCACCTGGTCTATCCAGCTCTGTATGTGTACACTCTCCTGGTTTATCTAGCTTTGTCTGTGTACACTCACCTGGTTTATCCAGCTCTGTATGTGTACACTCACCTGGTCTATCCAGCTCTGTATGTGTACACTCACCTGGTGTATCCAGCTCTGTATGTGTACACTCTCCTGGTTTATCTAGCTTTGTCTGTGTACACTCACCTGGTTTATCCAGCTCTGTATGTGTACACTCACCTGGTCTATCCAGCTCTGTATGTGTACACTCACCTGGTGTATCCAGCTCTGTATGTGTACACTCTCCTGGTTTATCTAGCTTTGTCTGTGTACACTCACCTGGTTTATCCAGCTCTGTATTTGTACACTCACCTGGTCTATCCAGTTCTGTATGTGTACACTCACCTGGTTTACCCAGCTCTGTATGTGTACACTCACCTGGTTTATCCAGCTCTGTATGTGTACACTCACCTGGTCTATCCAGCTCTGTATTTGTAACACTCACCTGGTTTACCCAGCTCTGTATGTGTACACTCACCTGGTGTATCCAGCTCTGTATGTGTACACTCACCTGGTCTATCCAGCTCTGTATGTGTACATTCACCTGGTTTACCCAGCTCTGTATTTGTACACTCACCTGGTCTATCCAGTTCTGCATGTGTACACTCACCTGGTTTACCCAGCTCTGTATGTGTACACTCACCTGGTTTACCCAGCTCTGTATGTGTAACACTCACCTGGTTTATCCAGCTCTGTATGTGTACACCCACCTGGTTTGTCCAGCTCTGTATGTGTACACCCACCTGGTTTGTCCAGCTTTGTATGTGTACACTCACCTGGTTTACCCAGCTCTGTATGTGTACACTCACCTGGTTTGTCCAGCTTTGTATGTATACACTCACCTGGTGTATCCAGCTCTGTATGTGTACACTCACCTGGTCTATCCAGCTCTGTATGTGTACACTCACCTGGTCTATCCAGCTCTGTATGTGTACACTCACCTGGTCTATCCAGCTCTGTATGTGTACACTCACCTGGTTTACCCAGCTCTGTATGTATACACTCACCTAGCCAGGGGAGCCGACTGCCCGCCCAGCGGGTTGTGCCCTGAGTGTGCGGCCTGGGAGAAATGGATTCCTGGTTGGAGACAGATTCTGAGTCTCGGCAAATGGGTTCCCCGTCTTAGAGCGTGCCTGTGGCTGCCTGCCCAGCGGCCTCCTGGGCCGCTCCCACCGGCTTGGGAGGGCGTGGGCAGCTGGGGTGCAGAGAGTATGGGCGTGTCGGATTGCATCGGCCTCTGACAGCATGCCAAGGCCAGAGGCATGGCTCTTTGTTGGTTTGTTTTAATCCCCATCGTCTTGGATGACTCATGCCCGTCCTGGGTCCGCCCTCTTACTGTGGTCACGAAGAGCGGGCTCCCAGGGGCTCGCAGGCCTTCTAAGAAATTCCCATGGTCCTTCCACACAAAGGCTGCCCTTTTCCTTAAAATCGTGTGCCCCCTCCCCGCCCGGGTCCACACCGGGGTTAGGCCAGGGACGCTGAGAAACATTGCCCAATTTCTCATGTAAAGTGTGTTTGTACCCAATGGTACCGTGACACCGTTCATCTGAGCACGTGCTCTGCCTCAGGGGTCAGTGGCTGAGTCGGGTCTAGAACCCAGGTTACCTAATGTAGGATCTATGCCCTGAGTGAGTGAGATGCCCTCTAAAAGTACGGCTCAGCCCTAGCCTAGCCGGTTTGGCTCAGTGGATAGAGCATTGGCCTGCAGACTCAAGGGTCCCAGGTTTAATCCCAGCCAAGGGCACATGCCTCGGTTGCAGGCTCCATCCCTGGGCCCCAGGGACGGGGGTGGAGAGGATGGGCAGTGTGGGAGGCAACCAATTGATGTGTCTCTCACATCGATGTGTCTCTCGGTCTCTCTCCCTCCCTCCCATTCTCTCTAAAAATCAGTGGGAAAGTATCCTCTGGCTCCCTCACTCCATCAGTCTCTAGGTGAGGACACACACACACACACCCACATACACACACACACTCAGTGTGGCTCCGTTCGGCCTCTGCGTGGTTTGCTGAGCCAGCGCCCCTATGGAGCTAGCGAACATTTGGCCGCTCCTGCTCTCAGTATAAGAAAAGCCGGGAAGCAGTGCCGTTCTGTCTCTCGGCCCTGGTTACCCTCCGTTCTCTCCCCCCCCCCCCCCCGCCCCCGGGTTTGCGGTTGGTTTTAATAACCTCCTACGCGGAGCCCCAGACACAGGATTGCTGTCTGTCACCGCCGCAGAGATGCGAGGCCACCGAGCACCACTGGCGTCCGTGACTCACCAGCTGTGGAATCCAGATGTGGGGAGCACGGGCTGTGTCAGCACGCAGAGCTGCCAGAGGCGCCCCCAAAGACCTGCACCATGTCCTGAAACGTCTGGTCACGGATTGCGGGCCCCATTCATGACGAGGGCTTGATGACGTGTGTGCTCCCGAGAGGAGGAGGTCCAGGGTTCAAGGGCAGTGCTTTCTTCCTGCCCGAGCGTCCTCCTAAGTCCTCTCACCCTCTTCCTTTAAGCCACATGTGTCAAACACAAGGCCCGCAGGCCAAATCCGTCCCGCCAGGCCTTGCAATGTGGCCCGCACCGCGCTGTCATCACTGCACTCCGCTGCGTTTCCATCACAATGACAGTTTATGACTGTTCAGTAAACCATTTGGCCCGCGATTTAGGCTGGATTTTAGATTTTGGCCCCTTCTCTGATTGAGTTCGACACCCCTACTTTAAGCGGTGGTTCAGGGCGAGGCTGCCCTCTCTCCCGCCTCTGGCTTGGAGTCCTTAAGCGGGGGAAGGGGGGGGTGGAATGGGAGTTGGGTAGGGGGCAGGTGAGGTGCAGGGTTCCTGCGAACCTTGCCAGGGATTCTGTCTCATCCCAAGACTGTCAGGAAGCAGTGAAGGCTGGAAAGGGGACTCAGGCTGAGGGGGTGGGGGTGGGGGGGGAGGATGGTCTGGAGGGAGTGAATGTGGATGTGCAGAACCTGTCAGTAAACAATGCCACAGCCCCAGACACAGATGATGGCGTTTGGTTCACGATGGCGGAGGCACAGAATAACCTGGACACTTGGGAGGGCCTCTGAACATAAGGGCCGGGTCAGATTGTGTCACCCACTGCCCAGCCCCTGCAGGGAACCTTTCTCACTTAGCTGCAGCCACCGCCTGTGATCCCAGGTGATCTGCCCCCGTTCCTGCCCTGCCAGGTTGCCTGGGTCAGACCGGTCTCTTTGCCTGTCCTGAAACACACCAAGATGCCTCTACCTCTGCAGTTTGCAAATTCTTTCTTGGGGGCGCTGTCTCCCCCCCCCACCCCCACCCCCCAGATTCCATACATGCAGACACCTATCTCTTCAGGCTCTGCTCAGTGTCCCCTCGCCTGGCTGTAAATGGCAGGCGCTCCCCGGCTCCAGCCCAGCAGGCAGCTCCAGCCCCCAGCCTGCTCTTCCTCCAAAGCACGTTTCCCCATGTGACACGTATTTGTCTATTGATCGTCTGCCCCTCGCGCCCCCCCCCCCCCGCTTCCCTCACACCCCTCCTGCCAAAAGTAAGCTTCACAGAGACAGAGACTCTGTTTTATTGGTGTCTCCCCTGCCGGGAAGAGTGCCTGACTCACAGCAGGGACTCGTGAATTATTGTTAACCGAGCGAACGGATGGATGGATGAATGGGCTAAGTGTGACACATACCTACATATCTAGGTAGATACTGATATGTACACACGTTATCTACATGATAGGATAACCAATGCAGTTGAGTTTACTTTCTGATACTTAGAGGCCATCGGTACCTCGCCTTCGTGCATTGTCATCTCGTGTCTTCTGTTCATTTTCCCTGTGAAGATGATGAGGATACTGTTCAATCGATGTGCTCTTTCTAGACACGAAGTGGCCGGATTATTTTGATCTCTGAACGCATAACAATCTGGCCACTCAGTGTATATGCTATATAATAAAAGGCTAATATGCAAATTGTCCCCTCGACCAGGAGTTCGACGAGCAGGCAGTCCGGCCAACTGCCCATAACCCCCCGCCCTCCAGGCTGGCCGGACATCACCCATGCATGAATTCATTCACCGGGCCTCTAACACACACACACACACACACACACACACACACACACACACACACATACACACACACACACACACACACACACACACTGAGTGGCCGGATTATTACGTGTTCAGAGATCATAACCTGGTCACTCAGTGAATTATGAGTAGACATGCTTCCTGCTTTGAAATGTGCATTATGGAATTAGATACTGTTTTAGTTGAAGGTGTCTGAGGTGCCTTTGAAGACTGAAGAAGTCACTGATGTCTGGATTGTTTCCTTCCTCTGCTTCTCTCATCCCACTTGGTCCTCAGAACTGGATGCTTGTGCTCTGGGGGGCCACGGCTGCGAGCACTCCTGTGTGAGCAGCGGAGACTCCTTCGTGTGCGAGTGTATGGAAGGGTACCTGCTTCGGGAAGACGGGAAAACCTGCAGACGTGAGTGTTTATCGGTGTTGGCTCTGTCGGTGTGTCTGACCTCTGCCGGAAGCCCGCCATCCTGATCTCTGTGTCATCCGTGGCTCTCAGTTCAGTGCCACGTGACCACCAAAGACCATGTGGGGTCCTGGGTGGGATCTTGGGCGGGAAAAGTGACAGCAGGTAAAAATTAAGGAAATGCAGCCCTCGCTGGTTTGGCTCAGTGTACAGAGCATCGGCCTGCGGACTGAAGGGTCCCGGGTTCCATTCCGGTCCAGGCACATGCCCGGGTTGTGGGCTCCATCCCCAGTAGGGGGCGTGCAGGAGGCAGCCGACCAATGATTCTATCTCATCATTGATGTTTCTGTCTCTCTCTCCCTTTCCCTTTCTCTCTGAAATCAATAAAAAAAACCCACATATTTATAAAACAAAAAATTAAGAAAATGCAAACAAACTATGGACTTTAGTGGATATTAGTCGTTGTATCAATATTGGTCCATGGATTTTATGACATGTGTTATTCTAAACGAAAATGTTATAGGGAAACTGAGCATGGGGGTTTATGGGAGCTTTCTGTACTATCTTTTCAATTTTTCGGTGCCTCTAAAACTCTCTTAAACAATAAAGTCCAGTACGAAGAACACAAGCAAATGCTCACATGAGAAAAGCCATGGCCAGGGCTGTGACGGAAGTTGCTCACTTACGCCTGAGGCAAGAGGCAGTGTGGCTTCTTGGGAAGATGTACAATCTGAAACCCAGGATTCTATCAACTTCTGTCTCTGCCACTCACTACTTGGGCAAGTTGCTTAACTCCTTTGCGCCTTTCTTTTAATTATTATTATTTCTAACAAAGCTGTCATTTCCAGGAGCACAAATCCCTCAGAGAGACCACCATACAAGGAGTCCATTCTTTTCTTTTTTTTTTTTTTAATATATATTTTATTAATTTTTCACAGAGAGGAAGAGAGAGGGATAGAGAGCTAGAAACATCGATGAGAGAGAATCATCAATCAGCTGCCTCCTGCACACCCCCCACTGGGGATGTGCCCGCAACCAAGGTACATGACCTTGACCGGAATTGAACCTGGGACCCTTCAGTCTGTAGGCCGACGCTCTATCCACTGAGCCACACCAGTTTTGGCAGGAGACCATTCTTACGTCTCAGAAAGCAGAGCCTCTTGGACGGGCCGAGTTCCATCTCTGTGTAGTCCAAGGGGAGTGTGACCCTGAGCAAGAGATTTCCGTCCCTATCCATCCCCTTTCCTCAAGCTGCTCGGAGCACTTTTCAAAGGGCAAGTCGTGTTTACAGAGACGGGTAACTGGAATTATGACACTCGTTTTTCAGGCAGGAAAGGGAAGGCTCCAGAGGGTGACATGACTCTTCTGAGTCACGTGACGTGTCAGGGACAAGGCCAACATTAGATTTCAGTGCTGCCAATCTAAGTGGAGGTTTAACTTCCTAAGTGGTCAGACCAGAAGTGTTTCCCTTCTGGTAGAAGAAGCTGCACCTGCAGAAAGCAGCTGAGGGCCTGCACATTTATCAGACACTGAATGCGATGCGGGTGAGTGAGGACGGTGACGACAGGGAGGACATTTGAGTTAGCCTAAATCAGAGCCCCCGAACTCCACCCTCGAGGTCACCCTCCTCCCCACAGACCGCTGAGCTCAGGGAAGCCCGGAGCGCCAGGCTGAGACAACGGGACCCTCTGAGGTGAATCTGGGGAGTCTCTACGTTGATGAAATTGTTTTAAGTTGCTCTGCTGTCCTCAGGGAAAGACGTCTGCCAAGCAGTAGACCACGGCTGCGAGCACATGTGTGTGAACAGCGGGGAGTCTTACAGCTGCAGGTGCTTGGAGGGGTTCCGGCTCGCTGAGGATGGGAAACGCTGCAGAAGTAAGTGACCTCCTGGGAGAGCCGACTTGCCCCTCATGAGGCTTGGTTACATGACGTCATTTAGCCCTTCCTTTGCCGTTCATGTCACAGCTACAGGCTCCTGCCATGGGCACTCTGGAGGGCTTTGCCAGTGAACAGCACAGCAGACCCTTAGTTGTTAGGAATTTCTCAGTCGAGGTCCCGAGACGTCAGGCTCTTTGCTTCTTTCCGTCCTCTCCCCGGTGTTGGTCCTCCTCTCAGGAGCTCTGTGGATGCTCAGAGCCTCGCAGTGCCCGGCTAGTCCTGGGACTGAATTAGAATCTCTGTGAGCAAGCATGATGGGGCTCAGAGGTTAATTGTGGTGCTTTTTCTTCCTGAAGGCCCTCAGAAGTGGAGGTAGTGTGTATGTGTGGGTGGACGGATGGATGGATGGATGGATGGATGGATGGATGGATGGAAGATGACTATAGGGTTTGGCAAGTCTGATGTCGGCAGGGTAGGCTGGAGCTCCAGGGAAGAGCTGATGTACAATAGTTCTAATCCAAAGGCAGTCTGCTGGCAGAATTCCCTCTTTTTCAGGAGGCATTAGTCTTTTTAAAAAAAAAAATTTAATTGATTTCAGAGAGGAAGGGAGAGGGAGAGATAGAAACATCAATGATGAGAATCATTGATTGGCTGCCTCCTGCACACCCCCTACTGGGGACTGAGCCCGCAACCTGGGCACCTGGGCAAGTGCCCTTGACTGGAATCGAACCTAGGACCCTTGGGTCCTGCAGGCCGTCGCTCTATCCACTGAGCAAAACCAGCTAGGGCTTTTTTTTTCTTCCCCTTAAAGCCTTCTACTGATTAGGTGAGGTCCACCACAATATGGAAGATACCCTACTTTACTCAAAGTCTACTGATCTAAATGTTAACCTCATAATAATAAATTCTGGACACCCGTCACCAAGCTTGGGGGAGTGCGAGCTGTCTTTGGGGTGTGTCCCCGCCCCAGGCCCTGTCCGGAAAGGGTGTGTGTGAAGGAGGTTGGAACAGAGATGGAGAATGCACGGCTCCTGCCATCTCTCCTGACTGACGTGATGGCTTAACCCAGCCTGTGTCTTCGCTGACGGGACTGCCCGGCTCTGTTTTCCTCAGGGAAGGATATCTGCAGGTCGGCCCACCACGGCTGCGAGCACATTTGTGTTCCTCGTGGCGATTCCTACGTCTGCAAATGCTCGGAGGGATTTATTCTGGCTGAGGACGGGAGGCGGTGCAAGCGTAAGTGATCTGAACTTGGCTTTCTGCTTGGCTTTGGCTTGGGAGGAAGCGTTTGAATTGATGCAACATCTTGACGGGCCTTTTGGCATTATTTATTTATTTATTTATTTATTTATTATCTATAACACATTGTTTAATGACAGGAAAATCATGTTCAAAAATCAGAGAAACCAGGTGGACCTTTGGCAAGTATGTAAAGGCAATTCAGCTTGTAGGAGTTTATCTTGTGATGATGTGCGTGTTTTCCCAAACCTATAGATTGTCTATAAGAATATCTTGTGCAGCCTTGTTTGTATCGGCAAAAAATTGGGAACAAGGTCAGTGTCCATCCCTAAGAGCCTGATAAGGTAAATTATGGTACAGCCATACAGTAGAAGACTATACAGCTGCTAAAAAGAGTGGAGCAGCTTTAGATATGATCCCAGGTTATTTTAGCTGAAAAAAGCATGGAACTGAGTGGGGTTTTTTATAGTCTATTACCGTTGATATATTTTGTAAGAGGCTTGCTCTACCATACCATATATGGTGGCAGAGAGGACACACACACACACACACACACACACACGCTGCCACTCCAGACCAGGCATAGACGTATTTCTACATGTGTGTGCCTTGTTTATTTACTGTGCTTCACGTTCAAAGGTTAGACAGCTGCTTGATATAGAACAGGGAATGCTATGAGATCATCCACTTGGATCTGTACATGTCTTACGCAGCCCTAAGTAATGACAACAACAAAAAAATCTCTCCACACCCGGATTGCCTAAGTATTTGCATAAAGCTTTTACTGTCAGCCCTCGGAGTTGCCTGGAAAGCTTTCGTGTAGATGAGGAATTCACAGCGATAATTCATTTTTAAGTTTTTATAGGTCAGTAGGGCACTCACAGGCGGGCTACCCAACGGACACTTTATTTTGCCAACAAGCCTTTGTTGAATACCTCCTGTGTGCCAGGTTTTTTTTTTGGGGGGGGGCGCAGAAATGAGTGAGAGATGGCCCCCCGATGGGGAGGAACTGGCAGGCTGGACGAGAAGCCCACACACACGCGATGGGCCCTCGCACAGCGTGCGGGAAACCCCGACGACACGCAGCGGGGGGAGCCGGGGACTCATCTCGGCCTCCCTCGCAGCCCCGCTGCGCCTCCTGCCTGGCAGGAAGCACATGCCCATGCGCAGGCGTTGGTTGAATGAGCGTGTGTGTGTGTGAGGGGGGCACACGGGGGAACTAGGACAAGCTGGGTCACTGGAAGCTCCTGGAGCGGGTGATGGCGGAGCTGCCTTTGAAGGGTTTCCTCTCCGCTGTCGGTCAGAATGCCCGCCCTGGAGTGAAGTTACAGAAGCTGTTGGGTGCTGTGCTGTCTGGCCCTTCCGCGTCCTTCACACAAGTCCCTCCAGACCTGGCCGCCGGGGCCCAGGGGGCAGGGGGCCTGGTGCCCTAGCTTGGTTTTTTTTTTTTTTTTTTTATGTATTTTATTGATCTTTTACAGAGAGGAAGGGAGAGGGATAGAGCTAGAAACATCGATGAGAGAGAAACATCGACCAGCTGCCTCCTGCGCACCCCCTACTGGGGATGTGCCCACAACCAAGGTGCATGCCCTTGACTGGAATCAGACCCGGGACCTTTCAGTCCGCAGTCCGATGCTCTATCCACTGACCCACACCGGCTAGGGCCTGGTGCCCTGTGTATGCCTCTGTTGTGCATCTATCCCACACCTCGTGGCTGCATGTTGTCTCGAGAACAGAGGTGGCTGGCTCTCCCAAGTAGCTGTGCCTCCCACAGAAGCACAATTGTCTTCTTCTCAGGGGCATACATATTTAAAAATCATTTCCTGCCGAAACCGGTTTGGCTCAGTGGATAGAGCGTCGGCCTGCGGACTGAAGGGTCCCGGGTTCGATTCCGGTCAGGGGCATATACCTTGGTTGCGGGCACATCCCCAGTAGGGGGACTGCAGGAGGCAGCTGGTCGATGTTTCTCTCTCATCGATGTTTCTCACTCTCTATCCCTCTCTCTTCCTCTCTGTGAACAATCAATAAAATATACATATATATTTTTAAAAAGAGTTGACTCCTTTAAAAAAAACAAAACAAAGAAAACAAAAAGCCATTCCCCCACCTCAGCTCTCCTTTTCGTGTTAACAGGATGCTCCGAAGGCCCGATCGACCTGGTCTTTGTGATCGACGGATCCAAGAGCCTCGGGGAGGACAACTTCGAGATCGTGAAGCAGTTCGTCACGGGGATCATAGACTCCCTGGTGGTGTCCCCCAAGGCCGCCCGGGTGGGGCTGCTGCAGTACTCCACGCAGGTCCGCCCCGAGTTCGCCCTGAGCAGCTTCGGCTCGGCCAGGGACATGAAGAAGGCCGTGGCCACCATGAAGTACATGGGCAAGGGCTCCATGACGGGGCTGGCCCTGAGGCACATGTTTGAGAGGAGCTTCACGCCGGCCGAAGGGGCCCGGCCCCTCTCCGCGCGGGTGCCCCGGGTGGCCATCGTGTTCACCGACGGGCGGGCTCAGGACGACGTCGCCGAGTGGGCCGGGAAGGCCAAGGCCAACGGTAATGTGGACGGAGTGGCGGCGGCCACCGCTCAAGGTTCAGGTCGCTGCAGCTCACGGGGTGGTCCCAGCTGGCCACGGGAGGGAGGTCCCGAGTGGACAGCGGCTCTCCCAGACTGCCCTCTACAGGCCTTAAAGGGAGTTGCCGGTTGGGAAGGGGTCTGGAAGGGTTGCAGACTGGCCATTGGCCCAGACCAGTGGTCCAGGGAGCCACACGCGGCTCTTTGGCCCCCCTGCGTGTTCTAACGCCACTTCTTCAAAACAGACTCGCCCAGGCCGAAAGCCGACTTCTGCACAGGGGCCACGGAGTCTCCATCGCACATGGTTATTTTGTGGAAGAGCCACACTCAAGGGGCCAAAGAGCCGTCCGTAGGTGGCTCCGGAGCCACGGTTTGCCGACCACTGGCCCAGACACAGACCCCACACCTTCTGCAGTGGAGAAATCATCTGTTGCACTTCACCAGCCCGGGTGTGACCTCCCGTGGAGAGAATCGGTCTCCACGCGCTATTTACCACACGTACACGGCAGTCCGCAAACACTGGTCAAAATAGATTCCCGGTGGAACTTTCCTGATACTTAAAAAAAAAAAAAAATTTGTTGTTGTTGTTGGTTTTAGAGAGAGAGAGGGATAGAGAGACACATTGATGAGAGAGAAACTTCATCAGTGAGCTGCCTCCTGCACTCCGCCCACCGAATCAAGCCCACAACCCGGGCAATGTGTCCTGACCAGGAATCGAACTGGTGACCTGTTGTCTCCTGGGTCCACACTCCATCCCTGAGCCACCCTGGCCGGCCTGGCACTTTACAAAACAAAGCTAATTCTGCAAGTGAACAGTGAAAGCACAACAGCCGTGGGGGAGCAAAGACTCGTGTGCTTGCAAAAGTTAGCTTTTGAGAAAATCCAACTGTTGGAGATGGTAGCTAAGCTCTCATTGCCCAGTAGAACTCGCCTCTTCTCTGAGTTGTATGACGCAGGGGGGACTGGAGGTTACGTTAGTGGTGGGCAGAGGTGAAATGTGGCAAAAATCGGGACTTTTTTAAAACGCCGTGGGATGCAGGACAAATTGTTAAAAATCGGGACATCTGGTCACCTTAAGTATGGCCCTTGGAAAAGGAGACCCAAAAGCTAGGTGGTTGGGAGAGACAGCTCAAGGCCAAGTGTCTGAACTCTTTGGGGAGATGAGAAAACGTGAGGTTGTGAGGCAGTTTGCTGAAAAGCCACTTTCTTGAGGAACTTGGTGAGGGCACGTTGCTTCAGCAGGTCCCACCAAGCGGAAAAGGGGACGCACAGACCAGGCCGCGTCGTGGCTGCTACTCTGGAGCACAGAAAGAAGGAGTGCGCAGTGAGGGAAGCAGCCACTGCGTTGGCCTCCTTACACAGCGTGGCCGGATGCCCGTGTGAGCCAGCCTTGCTGGACAGGAGGGAGCTCACTTGTGGGCTCGCTGGCACGTTCACTCCTTGTTCCCTCGACAAGGACTAGTCACGCGTGTGCCACGTGCCCGGCACCGGGTCTGAAAAGTCTCAGAGGAGGCCCTGGTCTGTGCCTCCCACAGAGCCAACGTAAAAATGGAAAAGCCGAAACCGGTTTGGCTCAGCGGTAGAGCGTTGGTCTGCGGACTGAAAGGTCCCAGGTTCGATTCCGGTCAGGGCCATGTACGTTGGTTGCGGGCACATCCCTGGTAGGGGGTGTGCAAGAGGCAGCTGGTTGAAGTTTCTCTCTCATCGACGTTTCTAGCTCTCTATCTCTCTCCCTTCCTCTCTGTAAAAAATCAATAAAATATATATTTTTTAAAAAAAATGGTGGAAAAAAAACAAAGTGAGGCTGACACGGACATCATGCCGTGGAACGTCTCGCTTTGGGTGCCGTACACACAGCCTCCGGGCGGGGGGAGCAGGGTGCAGCTCTCACCGCCGCCTTCTGGCCTTGCTCTGCCCCGTAGGTATAACCGTGTACGCTGTCGGGGTAGGAAAAGCCATCGAGGAGGAACTGCAGGAGATCGCCTCCAAGCCCACGGACAGGCACCTCTTCTATGCCGAAGACTTCAGCACGATGGGCGAGATAAGTGAAAAGCTGAAGCAGGGCATATGCGAAGGTATAAGAGCTTGTGTCTGGGAGAGAGCCTAGCGAACGAACGAGGCAGCAGGAACCCCTGAATGAGAAATCCTCAACCCATTCCTTCAAGGCGCTCAGAAAAGGGTCTCCCTGGGGCGCGGGGCCAGTGACACCTGCAAACACTACGCGCGCGGAGGGCGGGAGAGGGGTCAGAGAGGACAAAGGGGACAGACAGCATGGCTTGGTGATGCTGTGCTGAGCTGTGATAGCGCGTTGACACACTGGCACACTTGACCCCTTTAGAGATGGTCATTTAAGAAACCATCTTATAAGTCAGGAGGGCTGACACACCATTTCAGGGTGTGCCTGTGCTAGTCACTGGGGGTGGAAGCGGGTGGCAGCCCTTTCTAGTCCGCTGTCTAAAGTTACAGACTGCCTAGAGCCCGAGGCTGCCCTCTGGGATTGAGATCTGTGTACCAAGCTCCCTCTGCTTTCCTCGTTGACTGTGCCACGTCAGGCATGCTGACAGAGAGCAGTTCTGCCCATTTTCCCTTTTATTCGTGTCCCAGGTTGCGCCACCCATAAAATCCCCATCTAAGTGATGTACCTTATTCCCCTCTAACGGAAAAACACAGTGCGAGGAAGGGGGCCAGCGAGGGAAGGCCTGTGGGATTTCTAATCCGAGGAGATAATGTTTTGCCTCGAGGCCAGGGGCGGGTGGGGAACCTTTTTCTGCCAAGGGCCATTTGGATAGTTATAACATCCCTCACTGAACAGATTGTGGACAATGTCAGTAGTTTTATTGCTAGCTTCACCCAGTGGCCAGATAAGTTTCTATGGAACGAGTACAAAAAAAAATTGTTTTACATAAATGTTAAAGGCACGCTTTAAAACTAAACACCCATTGCATTTTGAAGTTATTTATTGCATGTTCTTACGAGCCAATATCTTCTTAAAGTATGGCACTTTGTAAAACACTGTGTAACATGAAGCGAGAAATCTCGTGACCCGTCCGCATGATGTAGTTTACTTACTATACATTGATGTTGCTGTGGACAAAGCTCGTAGACTTGTTGAGTTTTGAGGCCTGTGGTTGCCTGGGCAGGGCCAGACCGAATGGTAAGGCCCATTCCAGTGGGAAAGCCTCAGGAAGAGCTGTGGCCACTGCAACTTGATGCTTGACCTTCCCCTCGCCTCACCTCCTACACATGATATTTGGGGATATTCGTGTTTTTTTTAAGGGTGACATTTAAAAAAATTTTCTAATAAATATAGTTTTGATTTTTTTACAGAGAGGAAGAAAGAGGGACAGAGAGTCAGAAACATCAATGAGAGAGAAACATCGATCAGCTGCCTCTTGCACACCCCCTACTGAGGATGGGTCTGCAACCAATGCACATGTCCTTGACCGGAATCGAACCTGGGACCCTCCAATCCGCAGGCCGAAGCTCTATCCACTGAGCCAAACTGGTTTCGGCACATTTTTTAATTTTTTAAATATATTTTTATTGAGTTCAGAGAGGAAGAGGAAGAGAAAGATAGACACATCCATGATGAGAGAGAATCATTGATCGGCTGCCTCCTGCAAGTCCCCCTACTGGGGATCGAGCCCGCAACCTGGGCATGTGCCCTTGACTGGAATCGAACCTGGGACCTTTCAGTTCAAAGGCCAATGCTCTATCCACTGAGCCAAACCAGCTAGGGCGGGAAGGCACTCTTAAGAAGCATGTAAGGGGACCAGGCTTCCCCCAGGAGCAAACTCTCGAGTGCTCTTGGATTATCTTCATAGCCAAGTGCTCTTTGGGTCTGTGGTGATAGCAAATAAGACCGAAATACCCTGGGTTACCTCAGGAAGGTAAGGAGCTGGTCTGGGACCAGGTTCCTGAGTGACACGAGTGCGTGCGGACCACTGTCACCCCTTTTGCTCTTTTCCCGCTCAGCTCTGGAAGCCTCGGATGGAAGCCAGGACTCCCCAGCCGGGGAACTGCCCAAAAGGGGTCACCAGCCAACAGGTGAGTTAAAAAGCAGTGTTCCCAGAACCTCTGGTGGGAGGTCCCACCATGGCCTCCCCCTCCCCCAGACGGAAGTTGTAGGGATGAAAGCAAGATTGGAATGATGACTGTGGCTTTCCCCCCTCGGTCAGACAGGAAGCATCGACCCCCACACCTTAAGCCATGGTTGGTAATAGCCTCTCTGAGTCGTATTGCCAAACTTTTTCCCAACGTCAAGTTGTGTGCCCCGTGTTAGACCACCACGCCCCTCACTCTGACCGCGGGCAGCTTTTTACAGCACCGCCGTGGTAGGCAGGTGTGACCTCACTTGTCTCTCTCTTTGCAGAGTCTGAGCCAGTCACCATAAATATCCAAGACCTCCTTTCCTGTTCTAATTTTGCAGTGCAACACAGGTATCTGTTTGAAGAAGACAGTCTCTCACGGTCTGCACAAAAACTGTTCCACTCCACAAATCCTTCAGGTAATTCCTGGCAAACTGTTACTACGGGTTCTGTTGGTCCCAGCCCATCAGCTTGCCAACCAGCCCCGTGTAAAAGGAGAGGAGAGGAGAGGAGTGAGGAAATCAGGTGGGGAAGAGAGAACGTAAGTACAATGAGATCCTGAAAAAGGGACGGAGGTGGTCTCCCCAAGCCACAGAGCCGGCCACTTGGGGGTTGGCAGGCCCGGTCCTGTAAGTCCCGGGCTCCATGGAAAAAGCTGAGCGTTTCTTTCATTATGGTTTCCTCCATGTGCTGACTCAGTCCCGTCCGTGTGCGTCTGGGAAACGGGAGGGCTTACAGAGGTGAACACTTTCCATCTGCTTTCTCAGGAAGTCCTTTGGAAGACAAGCCCGATGAATGCAAATGTGAAAACCTCCTCATGTTCCAGAACCTTGCCAACGAGGAAGTGAGGAAATTAACACAGCGCTATATCCTTTTCTGGTTCTGTGCTTACGCGTGGGGCGCGGAGAACATGATCAAACCGTCCCGAGCACAAAGGAAGTTGTTTCCATGAAGGGCTTCTCTCTTTCTTTCTTTTTAAAAATATATTTTATTGATTTTTTACAGAGAGGAAGAGAGAGGGATAGAGAGTTAGAAACATTGATGAGAGAGAGTCCTCGATCAGCTGCCTCTTGCACACCCCCTACTGGGGATGTGCCCACAACCAAGGTACATGCCCTTGACCGGAATCGAACCCCGGGACCTTTCAGTCCGCAGGCCTCCGCTCTATCCATTGAGCCAAACCGGTTTCGGCAAGGGCTTCTTTCTTAAGCAGCCTGATAGGGTCTGGGAGCCAAGGGCAAGCCCAGCTTAGTGCAAGGCTCACGCACGTAGCTGCAGCTGTCTGCTGTTCTGGAGGGTTTAGCAGTCAGGCCAGTCGGCCAGTCAGTACTCAGAGGAAAGATACACACATTTCATGAACCCCCTTTCTCCTGGGATAAATTGCAGGCTGTGCCCTGATCTGAAGTATACCAAAGGTATAGTGTCAGGAGCAAAGCACGTTGTAGAACCAAGAGGTTTCAAACTCCATCTAAACTCCACAGTTTCTCTTTGGCCCCAACCCACCCCGTGGCCACATTTGGTCAGTGTTCAGTTTCCAGAGGACTGGGTTTGGGTTTTTGTTTTTGGTTTGGCAGCAAAGATCCTTTATATCAGCACGCTCAGATGAACCATTCCTCCGAGGCAACAGCAGGATCCAATGATTCATTAAAACAATATTACAAATGAGAGGAGTGCTTGGGATAACGGAGAAATGAAGATTTAGCACTTTACACCCGGAGCAGCCTGCCAACTGCTCTGAACTCATAACTAGTCCGCGTACTAAAGCTGGCTTGTGTCTATCTCAGCAGGGATCAGCCAGGCAGTAGGGAAATGGTTTAATTCAGAACAATTTCTGTGTCAGTGGGTTCCTATAAGGAATTACCTTTCTGAAAACTGGGAATACGGTCCCCTAGAAAATGATAACTGATGAACACCGCTGGGCTCTCATTCTGCCACCAAGAGGGCGGTGGAAGGTATTAAGGAGCTTACAGGGAGGAAGACAAATGCTTCTTCGAACGAGCCCCTCCTCTTCCTTTTCCCACCTCAGCCCTGAGGGTCTCTTTCACAAGAGACTAAGGAAGTTTTTCTATCAAAGAGCACAGGTCGACAGTCTTCAAGGTTGCTACCCTTTGGCCATACCTGACATAAGTGAAAACTCCCCATCTCTCTCCAGACTTCACATCTTTCTTTCCAAGGCTTAATCCCTAAAAAATTTTATATATATATATATATATATATATATATACACACACACACACACACACAAATATGACTTTTTACAGAGAGTAAGGGAGAGGGAGAGTGTTAGAAACACCGATGAGAGGGAAACATCAATCAGCTGCCTCCTGCACACCCCCGACCAGGGATGTGCCCGCAGCCAAGGTACATGCCCTTGAGTCCACAGGCTGACACTCTATCCACTGAGCCAAACCTGTTAAGGCAAGGCTTAATCCCTTTATTCTCTTCACCACATTACCAACATTATCAATTATGGCTCACAGAGGTGTGCTATTGCAAACTAATTTATAAGTAACAGAGGTGCGATTAGAAATTAAAAAGAAAAATAATTTTGCTTTGATGTTTTAACTCCAAAAAACACAGTCTTAGTAGCATGTGTTAACGTCAGTTTTAAAAATACTTAACAGAAACAGGAGGGGGGAAACCCTTATATTTTTAGGACCAATTTTTATGTAGGTAAACCAAGTGATATTTAAATGTAAATAAAAATGAACGATTCCTCTTCCTTAACTTGAGATGTACTAGAAGAAATGACACAGAGAATGGAAGCCCTAGAAAATCGTCTGAGATACAGATGAAGATTCAAAATACTCTGTATTTGTCTGTCATTGTATCAAGGACTACAGTGAAGGCGGTCCAGAGCCCCAAAGCTCAGGCTAGCGCTAGTTCTGTAAGGTTGTAAACGTGACTAGTACTGAGAAAGCTGGTTTGCTATGGCACAAAGGCAAAAAGTAGACACTAACTTTATAAGTTTAATGAGAGAAAAAAAATCCTTCGGAATCCTAAGAGTTTACCACCATGAGAATAAGCTATGCAAGATACTCTGTAACATACCGTAGACTTGATTTGCTTTGCCCCTTCCTCCCTTAGAATGTTGCAATTGCATTGGATCACAAAGTAAAGTTTGCACGTCTTACTGCTGTGGAACACTGGCCACGGGAAAAGCTGTTTTTGTATCGGACTTTACCTTGATGTATGTATATGGACGTATGCATAAAATCATAGGACAGGTACTTGTGTAACAAGTTGTTTTTTTAATACAATATTAAAGTTCACTTCAGAGATGGCACTTTGTATAAAATTCTTAGTTTAACTTTATTATTTTAAAAAAATTATTGATAAAATAGAGAGGAAGAGAAAGGGATAGAGAGCTAGAAACATTGATGAGAAACACCGATCAGCTGCCTTCTGCACACCCCCACCTGGGGGATGTGCCCGCAACCAAGGTACATGCCCCTGACCAGAACCGAACCCGGGACCCTTCAGTCTGTAGGCAGACGCTCTATCCACTGAGCCAAACTGGTTTTGGCCTTCGTTTAACTTTAAATGCAAGGTATGTAAACATGAGATATGACTAATATATGTATGAAAAAAAGGTTGAATCTCACTGCTAGTCAGGAAGATGCAGGTTAAAACAATAGCTTGGCTAAAACGAGTATGTCTTACTGTAACACGTGTTGGAAAGGATGTGGAAATCCGGGGCTCTTGTACAATGTACACAACCTTGTATGCCAGCCTCTGCATTTTAGCAGGTATGAGACTATGCAAAAATGTTGCTAGAGTCACAAATTAGAAACAACCTGATCATCAGAAGGGTAACTGATGAATTGTGGCATAATCCACAACTCGAAATAATACACACAGCATTTAAAAGGAATACACTGACATGTATACATGATTAAACTAAATAACAAATTTAAATTTAATAATAGCCAATCGTAAAGTATGCTTAGCATACCATTTCTGTAGATGTAAAGAAACCCTCAAACGTCACTATTGGTTCAGATACATAAATATGTACATTTAAGTACAAAGAAATGTTCTGGAAGGATATACACCATAGTGGTTGTCCCTGGGAAAGTGAAGCGGGAATAGGGGCAAGACCAAAGGAGACTTCAGATGTACCAGGTCAAGGCATGTCGAGCAGCAAGAAACCACCACAGGTGGCGGCTTCTTAGGAAATGACGACACACAAAAAATATCCACCCATTGATTTGGGAGGACAGTTGATGCCTTACCAAGTACCTTGAATAAGCTTTTGTTTAAATATTTCAAGACAGCCAGGCTGGTGTGGCTCAGTGGTTGAGCAACAATTCATGCACCAGGTCATGGTCTGATTCCTGATCAGGGCACATGCCAGGGTTTTGGACTCAATCCCCAGTAGGTAGTGTGCATGAGGCATCGGGTGATGATTCTCTCTCATCACTGATGTTTCTCCCTCCCTGATATCAATAAAAACACATTATTTAGAAAATTAATGTTTTTTTCCAAATATAAAATGCATAATTCAAGTCTAAAGCTTTCAGTTTATATTTGAGTCATCCACTTGATCCAGAAAACAGATTTCCATTAGGAAGTATTGATTTGGCATTTCCATTTGAGATTTGACTCCATCTACTTCACTTTCTGTTGAGTCCTGGCTCCCTCTAGTGGTTCTAGTCTGCTCTAATCTTTTTTTTAAGCTATTATACTTAACACATTTCATTAGAGGTTTTCAAACTTCTCCAACTTAGTGAGAAAATGCCTTCAAGAGAAATGACTCCAACGAACCTATCAAATTTATAGATCAATCCAAGGTATTTAACTTGAAGATTTAAACATGGAAAATTTTCTCCATTTCCTTGTTTTGCTAAAAGTGTCTCATGCGTAAAGGTTTTGCATTCCAGTTTTGACTCTCAAAGCCTTGATCTGTCAAATGTGACTGTTAGTATTATCTCATTGGATTGTTGAGTATGGTTAAATGGGTTAACATGTTCACTACTTAGTAAAGTCTAACATTTAAAATACTCAACATCAGCTATTTTTTCAGCAGCCAAGAGCATCTGACACAAAAATGGTATCACATACATGTATGTTGAGTGAATTCTTTGCTTACCTTACCTGAGGAAAATACTTAAGCAGATTCCCATTCCTAAATTATCTTTTGATGCAAAAAGATAGAAGGTAGTGTATTGCATAATGGTTAATGTTCAAGACCCATTATCAACAAAAAATTCTGGACTAGAAAGCCATAAGCATATCAGTGAGAATTAAGCCCTAAGTCATTACTCATGCTGGTTTCTGAATTTTTACCATGTGCCAACCACATAATGATAAAATGTTGAAAATATTAAGTCCCAGGGAGTGGGCTGGAGGGGTCAATGGGGGAAAAAGGGGGGCATATGGAACCTTCAACAAAAAAGATTTAAAAAAAGAAAATGCTAAGTCCCTATCCTCTGGAACCTTAGTCTAATGAGGTAGATGTGAATACCATAAGGTTCCATGGTAACTCAGAGGCATCCAGTCCAGACTGGGAGAGGGTATTGGAGTGACCTGAAAGGGGAGAAACCAGATGCCGCAAGTAGAGGGAACAGCAAGTCTAAGTTGGAAATAGCAATTTTAAGAGAACATGAGAATTGTTTTTCCATGAACCAGATGACCATCTTCCAAATACTCCAACAAAGTTTGGTTTCTTCTCTACATACCCTTCTCCTGCTCTACCAATATGGACTGCAATTAACACCCCAAATCCAACTTCTTGGAGACATTTAGAAAAAAATCTCAGCATAGGTATGGGACTAAACGTAATTGGCTGGAACATCTAGTCCCCACATACAAGAGAGCTTTCCAGCCAAATATTATAATCAGAAGAGAACATTTAGACTGGGAAGGTCTAAGGTGATATTTTTAAATATATCACCTTAGACCTTCCCAGTCTGTTGTTTTTTTTTAATATTTTTATTGATTACAGAGGGAAATATCAATGATGAGTCATTGATTGGCTGTCTCCTACATGCCTCTCATTGGGGATTGAGTCCACAACATTCCTCTGAATGTCTTTTTCCAAGCAATATTAACATACCTGGGAGATATATGAAATGACAAAATTCAGGGTGGGAGAATTTCATTTCTTCTTTGCTACTCAGATTTGGTTGATTTAAGGTGAATTATTAATTTTAAGTTTCAAACCTACTGCCTCATTCAAACACATTCAAATATAAATACCAACAATGTCCTGAGACTGGAATTATGAAAATAGAATATCTTAAAAACCCAGTACAAGAAAGGAACTCTGTGTGGGAACTGGGATTTACAACTCTTAACCTAAAGGCCTTGCCACATCTAGTTGCCTCCTCCTCTCTAATCTTATCTTCAGGAAAGTGTTACCGAAACAAGATACAAAAATAACTGAAGCGACTGCAATTTTTAAACCAAACTCTGGTCAATTTTATTAAAGAAAAATTTCCCATGATTTACTTTTCACCAGTCTGTTCTGGCATGCTTCTAATGATATCAGAATCACCTGGAAAACAAAACAATAATAATTTTACAATTCATTTAATGGCAAATGGTAAACATGAAATTGACAGTGGTTATCTTCAAGTTATTGCACTAGCTGTCCTGCCATTTCTGAGGCTGATCATATATATCAGACTTGGCTTATCACCAGCATTTAGAAAACCAGACCTAGGGCAAGAAGTAGGTCTGGGGACACATGCATGGTCTTAATATAGCGAATGTTTAGCCTGCCCTGATTATTACAAAATCAGAACAGCGAGAATATTCGCAGTATTTTATGAATTAAAAATTCTTAAGTTCAAAACATGTCCAGTTGACCCTTGAAGTCAAGGATTAGGGATGTTGACCCCTTTGTGTAACTTAAGTTGGCCTTCCACACACATGTATTCCCAACCACAGATTCAAACTACTGTCTTTGTTCTATAGTTGGTGAATCCACGGATGGGAAACCCATCGAAAGAAACCTGTGTATGTGACTCATGAAGTTCAAACCTGTGTTGTTCAAGTCAACTTCTTTCAACCAAAGTTTCCTCTCTGTTTAAGCATCCAGTAGAGATTACTTTCCTCTATTCACCTGATTATTTTCCCCTTTTATAATTTCATCTTTTACCAAGGTCCTAAATCATTATGTTGAGAGATCAAATAAAATTCACAATCTCAAAAACAAAGAATTCACTTATAGCAAAGCCAATGTACTGACACTCATCAATTCTCTGTGAAATAATAATATCACTTAATATATCCAAATTATCACCATCTGAACTCAGGAATCAGTAAATACTTCTATTACAAAGAAAAGAATATACAATTTAAGAAGCATACCTGGGTCAATGATAGCCAGTGTGCATACCCTGTAGTACTTTCCACACGCTGTGCCCAATTCAATATTATTGCCACTGTAGTGATGGACACCAGTCTTGGCCAACATGGCATAGTACTCTATTTCAGATTTCCTTTGGGAACCAAAAAAGGGCAAATAAATGCCATACCAAATGACTGACAGACTAAGTATTTACCACTTCTCTCATTGGTTTTAATGCTGGTGAGGCCTTCCAACAGTAAATAAGACAGTTATTACTATTTTTATCCAGTTATTATTCTCAAGGACCTATTTCATTGGCCAATACAAGCCATCCTTTACTTGGATCCCTTACAAAAGAAATGAGACAACCATCTATGCTCATGGAGAAGAGGGTAGGTGCAAAACCAAAGCATTACAAAGTGTTTACTGCATACCAGATACTTTACATAATGAAGAAATTGAGGCAGAGAATAAGAAATGAAGGGATCAGAATTCAAACCCATGTTACCTTGAAAAGATGGTTTATTTCTATCACCTTTTGATGCAGAATTGTAGATTGGAGGCGATACTACCCAGAATTAACGTTTATCAATTGAGTAGGTAGATATTAGTGGCTTTATAAATTTGAAGGGAGTTCTAACGGAACGTTCCTCCTACTCAAAGTGTGGATCCAGAGCAGGAGAGGTGTCATAAGGGGCCTGTTAGAAATGCACCATCTCAGGCCCATTCAGATCCAGAAGTAGAATCTGCAATTCACTCATGTGTTCACTTTTGAGACGCTCTGCTACAGACAGCAGGCTTAAAAGGAATGCTTGAAACAAGACCAAACTATGGGATGGGGAGCACTCTGTAAGTATATACACCTTGTCAGATGCTACAAGGCTATCCATTATCATTGAAAATCCATGTGGGTAGGGGACTGATCATGGCTTATATTCTCTAAGTTCAAAGTTTCTTCTTTACAATGCCCACTAAGTTCAATTTTAAAAGCTGGGGGGAAAATGTGGCTGAACACTGACATAGGAGGATGGACTAGGTGATTCTGACAGCCTGCAACTCCTCGGTCAGCCTGAACTTTTCTTAACTAGCTTTTCTGCAGCAAAACACGTTCATACAATAAAGCACTTCTAGAACATCTCAAAGCTAAAAGAATGACCAAAGACACAGCACCAAATACATGTAAAAACAAAACAGATGTATGTGCAACCCTCAAACGTTTGACATTCTGTGAACGTTATTACTCCTGCCCCATTTTCTCCCATAAGATAAGCTTTACACTGGGAGGAAACATGCTTTGGGGAGATGGGGAGTGAGGGGAGAGTAGGAATCAAGAGCCAAACCCCAGAACAGCTAAGTCATTCACTATAGCAACCTTCTGTCAGGTGATCGCCTATAAAACAGACTTTCTATAACCCCGGGTCCATGCCACCCAGACTGCAGGGGTGCACGCTGCACAGTCGCCCTCGGTGGATTTGCAGGGAGAGCGCACACACCTCAGGGCCGGGCAGTTGTTGGCCAGGATGACCAGCTTCGCTTTGCCTTGCCGGATCATCTTCAGCGTCTGCTTGTACCCCAGCACGTACTTGCCGCTTTTCATCACCAGCTGGAGCCTAGAGTTGATGGACTCCAGCGACTTTTTCTACAAAGCAAGCATCGATCGTGTATCTGAAGGCCTGGTCTGGAACCACCCCAAAACTGGATCCAGCTTTCTAGAAGCCGAGACCATTAATAATAAAGCCTCCGAAGGCCAAGCCCTAAGCCCTGCAGAGGCCCCATCGGGTTTCTTTTGGGGTCCCCCCATTCTCCCCGGCCCCGAATCCATCGGGCGTGCTGTCTCCCCAGGGTGCTCCCACATGCCCACCCCGCCGAGACAACTCCCCACGTGAACCGGCTTCCGGCCCGCTCCACTCACCGTCTTCTTTGCGGCCACCATCTTCCTGCCTCAAGTGCGGGACGGCCCCCAACCTAGGACACACGGAGCACAGGGAAGGGGGTTCAGGAACCCAAGGTCCGATGGCAACCGGCGGGGCCCCCCTCCACAAGGCGAAAGCGCCGGCCGCCGGAGCCCACTCACCAGATGCAGCCGTCAAGATGGCCGGGGAGCGAGAAAGGAAGTCGTTCCCACAATGCATCGCTCTTCACCACCCGGCCTGGAGCCCAGACCGGAAGCGGAAGCGAACCGCAAGCGGAAGGGGCGGGGCCAGGAGGAAAGGAGCGCTCCGGTTGCCATGGGTACGGCTGGGGAGAGCGGCGGCGATGCTGGGAGCCTAAACGAGCCGCGTATTTTAGGCCGAACCTGCTCGTTGCTCTGGCTTCCAGCGGCGGACGGAGGAGCCGAGGTCGGCGGAGCTGCCTGGGAACCGGAGAACCGGTGAAGGTGAGGCGGGAGGAGCGGCGAACGGGGACGGTGCGGCTGCGCCACGGTCCTAGCGCCGCCGCTTTTCTCTGCCCGAAGCCCAGGCTCTTGGAGAAGCGGAGGACCCTCCGCGCCCGCCCGCCCTCGCCTTCCCTGCCGGCATGGCCCAGGCCGTGGTATTTTGTGCAAGAGCCACACTCAAGGGGCCAAAGAGCCGCATGTGGCTCGCGAGACGCAGTTTGCTGACCACTGCACAGAGGAAGAAACACTTGCCATGCGAGAATTGACAGTCAAATCGTTTGGCTCATGAAGGTTTTCTAAATATTTTCACACATATTTATTAGAACAGGAATTGGCAAACTTTTTCTGTAAAGACCAAACAGTAAGTTTTTTATGCCTTTTAAGCCATATGGTCTCTGTACAACTACTGGGTTGTAGTGTAGCACGAAAGCAGCCTCAGACACGGTGTAAATGCATGAGTGTGGCTGTGTTCCAATAAAACCTATTTACAGAGCCGGGCCGCTGCCCGGACTTGGTCATATGTGTGAGCCCCAATCCGTGTGCCTGGGGTCCTTATGCGATGAGACACAGACACGCACGGCAGGAAGGCCATGGGAGGACACATGGAGGCCACTGCCATCTGCCAGCCAAGGAGAGAGAGGCCTCCGAATGAACTAACCCCACCGACACCTTGATTTTAGACTTCCAGCCTCAGCCTTGTGAGAAACTACGTTTCTGGTAAGTCATCCAGTCTCTGGTACCTTGTTACATAGCAGCCTTAGCAAACTAACACAGATGATAACCATTGAATAGTATAAACACTAACATTCCTGGGTCTTCACTGAGAAAAGTGAATATAAGTAAGGTGCGATTGGGGCCAAGGGCACACGCCCAGGGTTGCAGGCTCCAGCCCCAGTAGGGAGCGTGCAGGAGGCAGGCAGCCAATGAGTCTCATCCTTGATATTTCTATCTCTCCCTCTCTGAAATCAATGAGAGAGAGAGAGAGAGAGAGAGAGAGAGAGAGAGAGAGAAGTAAATTAACCACGAGGGTGGATTAAGCAGCACTGTCCGCGTTACACCTGCTCGGGGTGACTGTACTGAAGTTAGGTAAGATTACAGCTGCATCGCAAAGGCAGTCCACCAATCAGCAGTCCCTGGCCACAGCCGTCGCCGCCTCTCCCGGCTACTTGGGGGTGATGCAGAGAATCCCGCCGCCCTCAACCCACATCATTCCAACATCCTTTCCACCCTGCTCTCCGACCTCCCCTACCCCGTCCCCCTTCTCCTCTCCGGCTCCGGGTCCCTGTCCTCTCCCCACCCCGTCCCCCTTCTCCTCTCCGGCTCCGGGTCCCTGTCCTCTCCCCACCCCGTCCCCCTTCTCCTCTCCGGCTCCGGGTCCCTGTCCTCTCCCCACCCCGTCCCCCTTCTCCTCTCCGGCTCCGGGTCCCTGTCCTCTCCCCACCCCGTCCCCCTTCTCCTCTCCGGCTCCGGGTCCCTGTCCTCTCCCCACCCCGTCCCCCTTCTCTGCGCTCCTAGCCCCCGGCTCCCGGACGGCTCCCTCCCCTCCAGGTGCGCCCGCCCCCGGGAGCCCCGGAGCTGCAGGAACCTCTGCGCCCGCAGCGCGGGAGCCAGGCTCCGGGGGACCCACTCCCGCCCGGGACCCAGGCTCCGGGGGACCCCACTCCCGCCCGGGACCCAGGCTCCGGGGGACCCCACTCCCGCCCGGGACCCAGGCTCCGGGGGACCCACTCCCGCCCGGGACCCAGGCTCCGGGGGACCCCACTCCCGCCCGGGCGGCGATGGGCTGCTCCGGCGGCGCCCTCCGCCAGGCCGGCGCCGGCCGCACACACCGCCGCGGTGAGCGGGGTTCGGGGCGGGGGGGCGGGGGTTCGGGGTGGGGAGCGGGGGTTCGGGTCCGGGGGCGGGGGTTCGGGTAAGGGGAGCGGGGGTTCGGGTCCGGAGCGGGGGTTCGGGGCGGGGGTTCGGGTGGGGGAGCGGGGGTTCGGGTGAGGGAGCGGGGGTTCGGGTGGGGGAGCGGGGGTTCGGGTAGGGGGAGCGGGGGTTCGGGGCGGGGAGCGGGGGTTCGGGTGGGGGAGCGGGGGGTTCGGGTAGGGGGAACGGGGGTTCGGGACGGGGAGCGGGGGGTTCCGGTGGGTGAGCCGGGATTCGGGGCGGGGAGCAGGGGTTCGGGTGGGCTCGCTCCCCCGGGGTCCGAAAGGTGCGACCGGGGCCCACCCGCCCGGCAGGCTCCTCCCCGAGGCTGGGAGCGGAACGGGGCGCCCCTCTCCGCGGTGCTGACCTGGGGGCGGCGGGGTTACTCCGTCCCGGTGTGCTCGCGGCATTGTGTCCCTAAGTCTCTGAAATAGATGAGTGATTTCCTGTCCTTAGCAATAGATGCTATTTTATAGCAACTTCATTCTACAGGACAGTGCGAATTCCCTGGGGACCTTCTGGTGGAGGTGGTAAGGGGGCTTGTGTACCCGCTTTCTGTCCAGACCTTCTGCGCCTGGGAGGGTCAGAGTTGCAGGGTTAGTGAAGGCCAAGTGCAGACGGACAGTCACTGCCTCAGATAGGTCCCCGCGCTTTTTTCCTTTCCTTGACAAATACGCAAGGGATGAGACGTGGCCATCACTGAACCTTATAAAGAAATCCAGCAAGTCCGTTCTGAGAGTCACGTATCAAGTGACTCTCCTCTCCTCCTCTGTCCCATCACCACGGAGACTCCACTTTTGGAGTTTGGAGGTGGAAGAGACAGACAATAAACAAGTTGGACAAATGACTTGAGATAGTTTCTGACAGTGGTAAGTGCAGTGAAAAGAATAAGAGCAGATAATGGCTGGCTTTTCCAGCTGACTCACTTCTTAGGTTTTGAATGGCTAACATTTTGGACAAACTTCTGGAGGTTAAGCAGATTCCTTCAAGCTTGTTTTCTGTCTTCTTCAAAACTAACTTTAGGGACATTTTATACTAATTCCTTTTCACAGGTCTTTAGCACCTTATGTTATTCCTACAACGGAAAGCCCTCTGATGTTGTAGTTCGGTGGTTTCCATGAATGCTATTTCAAAGCTCAGACGCTGAGTCCTAGTCAGAAATGTTTGATTGAAGTCGTTGTCATGGTTTATAATTTGTTCCTAAAATAGTCAAAAAAACTAAAGCCGTATGTGAAAGTGATTCCAAACCCCTCCTGACTGACAACAATGTGAAAAAATGGAAAACCCATTCCTGGATGTACCAGCCTTTCTCCCAAAGAGAAGAAAGCCGCTGTACCCCAAATGTGCTCTCAAAAGGCTGGTGCAATGAGCAGTTTCCTTGATGTTTCATGTTTTATCTTGTGAAGTCAGGTTGCTTTTGGAAAAACTTGAGGCAGGTACGGCATATTATTTTGGCTTCTCCTACGCCCTGCCATGTCCCAGCTAACCTAGGACATGGAGTAGCATTCTGGTTTAAACATCTTCAGTTTTTAAAACATGTATTGTAGGGAATGTTGCCCTTGGGGTGGGGCAAAAGTATTTCATAGAGGGAATAGAGTTTTTAATCCTCTCATAAAATAGTGAAAGACCTTTGAAAAATTATCACTAATATGAATAACCATAAACTTGAATCACATGCACTCTCTCGGTGTTTATTTATGCTTTCATTGTTGTTCTAAGTTTACACTGTTGTTCTGAAAGAAATGTTAAAATACCTGACCATCAGTTTTGATGCATAGAAATTTAATTAATACACCGCATGATATGCTCAGTGCACATATTGACTCAATCAACAGGCGTTCTGCTTCTGAGCCTCATTCAGACAATACTCTCATGTAACTGGATACAGTTGTACATTCACCATTTCACCTCCATGATACTGGAGGCCAGATAAATAATTCATCCCTGCTTCTGAAGGTCAGAACTTCTGGATATAAAATCTCAAGTGTGTATGTGCGTTTAGATAAAAACAGCCCAAGTTTATTAAATGTCCTGTACATACATTTACTTACTGCTATAGAATTGGTGAATGAATTAATTTATTTAATCCTTACAACAGTGTCATGACTAAGTTTTATGATTTCCCCACTTTATAGGTAAGAGTAAATAATTTGTCCAAAAAATAATAATAATAATTTGTCCAAGGTTATGGGGCTCCTTAAGAGTCAGAGCTGGGCTTTGGATTCGGGTACTCTGATTCCAGAACTTGACCTCTTCCTCCTTAGACCAGCTTGTGATAAGTAGATTTAAATCTGTTTTGGCCTTACATCACCCTTGGTTGTCATTAGAGGGTGGTTATCCACTATTCAAACAACAAAAGAAATATAATAGTATAATAGAGTAATAGAGTATTTATTGTGATCTCTAAATTAGATATATATTAGAGTAAGCATACAAATATGGTATATATAATACATATCTATATAAGTACTTTAAATGCAATGTTATAATAAATATTTATTTCTAAATAAGAATCAGTAAAATATGAAGTTTATTTGCTTTCCAAGTTTAACTGGGAATATTTAGAGGACATTTAGCCTTTGAGGTATTTTACGAGTATATAAGATGTAAAGAAACTTCCAGTGGCTTCCCACGGAGATACAGATAATGTTTATATCATAAGATATTCTTTTAAAATCACGATATCAACCTTCGAACCCCACGGGTTAAAGTTAAAATATAGCAAGTAGCATGTGAACTGGATTTACGTTGACAATTCCACCTGTCAACTAACTTCGTGCTGCTGACTTAAGATCCGTTTGTTATGCATGATGCAGAATTATCAGCAAAGGAATCATAAATAATGGGTTGAACTACATGACGTCTAAGATCTCTTGTAGCTCTTAAATCTTGTAAAACTAAAATATGAAGGTATATATTCTCTGGGCTCCAATTTATTATTTTTTTATAATATATTTTATTGATTTTTTTTTTTTACAGAGCGGAAGGAAGAGGGATAGAGAGTTAGAAACATCGATGAGAGAGAAACATCCATCAGCTGCCTCTTGCACACTCCCTACTGGGTAACTGCCCACAACCAAGTTACACGCCCTTGACCAGAATCGAACCCGGGACCCTTGAGTCCGCAAGCTGACTCTCTATCCACTGAGCCAGACTGGTTAGGGCTCTGGGCTCCGATTTAAACCTGATAGCAGCTCTTGGTCAGGGAGCTGCTATGCGGAACAGGAAAACCCGTTCACGTGAAGACATCAGTCTGACCCGTTAATCCTGAATACCACCGAGCTTCCATCACCTCTAAGACCACCGACTGGGGAAAGAAGCAGAGAGTGGCCTATGATTGTAAGTCATTAATTAGTGCTCCTCGAAGTATAGAACGGTGCCTGGAACCTGATAGTCACAGATTTTACCGAATGCTCCCCCTCCCCCAAGGACAATTAGACAGGCAGAGCTGGAATTTCTTGTTGGTGGAAGCAAGTTGTAAACATCAGGGCAATTTCTATGCTTTTCGGTGCCATGAGTAGCCATGGGACTCCGAACACAGAAGTCTTGTTGACTTCACACACTTCAGTGGGCCGGAAGCTTTGGCCTGGGACCCCTCCTCTCGGTGCTTCCAGCCCCCGGTGTCACGGATAACTCTTTCCCAAACGCTTCTCCAAAATGAACGCCATCCCCTTGGGCAGACTTCTCCCTGGGACTTGACAGCTTACGCATAAAAGCAGGCAGAGTAAATAGATGGTAATTATTGGCAAATTCATGGCTAGGTTAATGTGTACATTTCCAGTCACAGCCAGTCATTTGTTTGTCCTAGCCTCAGCACTAGCTGTGTGAGGTTCCTGCTGCCAAGGCCATCGGATGGGCCGTGAATTTCACAGTTATGCCAACTGTTATTTGTGTCCTGGAGATCCCTTCAGTCTTCAACCCGTATTTTCACACAGGGAGCTGCAGTCCCAAGTAGACAGGTTTTTTTTTAACTGGAGAAAAAGGCTCAGCAACACTAACATGAATTTTTATAGGCTTTTCTTGCATATAGATATTATACAAATGGGCTTTCTGTCTTTTAAATGCTAGAGCTCTCTGGACTGAAATCATTTAAAAAAAATATATATATATATTTATTGGTTTCTGAGAGGAAGGGAGGGAGGAGATAGAAACATCAGTGAATAGGGAGAATCGTTGATCAGCTGCCTCCTGGGTGCCCCACACTGGGGATCGTGTGTGAAACCCAGGCATAGGTCAATGTTCATAGGTCAGTACTCAACCATTGAGCCACACTGGACTGAGTCTTGTCTTTGAGTTCCCTTGAAAGTCTGGTATGCAGAAAATGTTTGGTAAGTCTTTGCGGTAGGCCTGGTTATTACGTACAGTGAATTAAAATGGAATATAAGAGCTACCTATATGGCTCAAAAAAAAAACATTTGAAAAATACATACAGTGTAAATCATACCTCCTATCCTAGCCCCACCATCTGCTTAGTTCTGATCTCACTTAAAGAGTAAAAATAATTTTGTGTATTCTTCCAAAATTTCTTTATAGATTGCAAATATTATTTTTCTCATCTTTGTTCATCATCTATGTTTCCCATACAATATATATGCATGTATTATATATATCACATTTGTATGCTTACTCTATGTTCATGAAATATAGTGTATTATAACCAATAGTCTTCACCTTTGTTTTTTTCACCTACCAACATGGAGATCTATCTTGGCATACAGAGAACTTTCTCCTTTTTTATACTTGTTTAAAGAATACAGTGTGTGATTTCCTTAGCCAGTCCCCTATCTGTTTTCAGTCTTTTCCTGTTGCAAATGGCTGCTATTGAATTACTTCATACATGCGTCATTTTGAATGTGTGCAGGCGTGACTGTAGACAGTCTCCCAGAAGCGGGAGAGGGCCTGTGCCTTTACAATGTGATAGATAACTGCTTACAGGACTTCCACAGGGTTATACTGGTTCACACTCTCATCAACAGCACAATACATCTTCTTCTAAAACGGAAGGTTTGGTACAGCTGCATCCAAACGCGGGAACAGATCAGGAATCAGAAGATAAGATAGGAGCACCCACTTGTTCCCCAGATTTTTAGCCCATGATCTCATCCAGTTCCCACAAGAGCCTTATCCATAAAGCAAACATTAGGTAACAAGCACAGCTAGGAAACCCAGCTTAGTGAGGATCCGTAACTTGTCGGCGGTCTCATAGCTAGTGCTAGTGAGCGATGGGGCCGGGGCTTAATATGGGAGAATCTGACCCCCTGTGTTTCTCAGACTCCAGTTCCATCTGGGGTCTAGGTTCAGTTCTACCAGAGCTTGTCATATCACTCTACACCCAGGAGGAATGCAGCCCGTTTCTGTAGAGATTGTGGATGGGTGGGTGAATGGGTAAGCAGAGGTGGGAATATAGGGGGGTGGGAATACCACTGAGAGAAGGAGAGAGGAGAGAGGGGGCAGGGGGAGAGAAGGAATCGGGACCCACAGAATTCAGAAGCTGGAAGGTCATTTTGGCCAAGATGGGCTCGGGAAGAGAGTGTCGGGCTGTTAAGAGGGTCTTCCAGTCAGACAGGAAAAGGTCAGCTCAGCAAAACAAGGTTTCATTGTATGCTGTTAAATCACGCTCCTGTGAGGTTGCCACGGGTCCCAGCTCCTGTGTCCAGTTTCACTTACGTTAATGTTTTACAACATCAAGTTTAAGATAAAAACCTGATACCCGTGGGGGGTGACAGAAAGGCTCACCAGCACTGATAAAAGCATCAAACTTGGCTAGGCTTCAGATCCTGGTGTGTGAAGTGTAGGTAGTACTGGGGGATGACTGGTTTTTTAAACAATCCGAATACCTGACTAAAGCTCTGCAAGTGAGTGTTAACGTCTGGAAAATACCCCAATGACCTCAACGCTTCTCTGCTCTCAGGGCTGTTGCTGTTCCTTCCTTGAACCCCTCCTTGGGAACTGCCAAGAGGGTCAGAGCTTTGCCCTTTAAGGATGAAGACTGAAAAAACAAACAAACAAACAAAAAACACACAACAAAAGACATTGTGTTTAACAATTAAAATTCCATGGAAATTATGTGCGCTACCAAGCGTTCTGAGGTATCTTTCCAACTATGTGTTCTTGTTTCTCTGTAGTTAAATGTAAAATTTAGGTTTACCTTCAAAATGTATTGCATTTACATTGTGATGGTCAAAACTAATTTTAAATAAGTAAATCCAAGTATTTCTACTATAAAAGAAAAGTGGTTTGTCTGTTTGTTTTTTAAAGTATATTTTATTGACTTTTTACAGAGAGGAAGAGAGAGGGATAGAGTTAGAAACATGGATGAGAGAGAATCATCGACCAGCTGCCTCTTGCACACACCCCCGCCCCCCCCCCCCCACTGGGGATGTGCCCGCAACCAAGGTACATGCCCTTGACCGGAATCGAACCCGGGACCTTTCAGTCCGCAGGCCTGAATGTGTGTTTTCCTTTTATTTTTCAAATGGACGATCAGAAAGTAACTTCAAATATGTATTTTTCAACCACAGGAGAAAGTGAGTCCTGCTTCGTTCAACCCAAACCCCTTACACTGGGAAGAGAATCTACTGTTGGTGACAAGGCACAGAAGGAAAGCCTTCCGCCATTGGAGAAGCTCAGGATTCCAGCAGTGTCTGCAGCTAATGGCGTTCAATCCCTTCATGCTCGGCCCCCCGCAAAGGAGGCGGCAGACTCGCAGGGATCCACGGAGAAGAAGATCCAGCCTCCGGAGGGACCCAAGGAGCCTGGGCCGCTTCAGCAGGATGGCAAAGCGGAGGCTCCAGGAGCAGGAGAAAAGAAAGACGTGGAAGCGGTGACAGGGGCCCGGCGTTCAGAAGGAAATGCCGGGACAGAGCCTTTGGGAACAGAAGCCAGGCCTCGGCCTCTGAGGACCGCTGGCGAGAGGGACTCCCCCGGAGCAGCAGCAGGCACCGAGACTCCACCAGCTGCCAGAGAGACGGAACCTCGAAGAAGAGCTGGGAAAACCCCACCCCTGGAAGCAGGCAGAGAGACACGACCTCCAAACACACCCCAACTCCTGGACACAGTTCCCCAGGAGACGGAATCTCCAGAGATTTTGGAAGGAAGTCAGCCTGTTGCAACAGCTGAGGAACGTCAGCTTCAAGAAACACTGGGGAGAGATGAGCAATCCCAGCTTCTAGAAACAGTGTCCAGAGGAGAAGGACCTCTGGAAATAGCGGAAGGAAGGCAGCTTGTGGAAACAGCTGTAAAGAATGATTTGGTTCACGAAACTCCTGAAGGTCTGGTGAACAGGGAGCAGATTCAACCTGAAGGAACAGTCGGAAGCATGGGGCATCCAGCAGGAACTCTGGAAACGGGGCCAAACATGGAAGTGGTCGGGAAAATGCACCCCACAAAGGAGAGCCAAAACCTTGAAGGTAAGAGATGCTGTTCAAGGTTCAGGATGCTTAGATGGGGTTCATACGAGGTCATCTCTGGGGGGAGGGAAGAGGGAGAAAGTGCCTTGTACATACACTGAAGTATCTATTACAGGTGGTTGACATTCGTTTGACCCAAATCAAAAACGTTTCCATATCTGGAAAACAGGCATTTGGCTTTCCACCAAAATGTTCTAAAGCATGTTCTGTGTCCAAATTTTTTAACCTAAGAGTTTCATCGTTGAATAGAACCGAATATTGAAGCCAACATGTTAACATTTCTGGACTTTCCCATGTTTGCTCTTCATCGGGTCCCATGTGTGGTGTGAGGTTCCAAAATAAAGATGAATAGGTGGTTAGTGGAGGAATTGACCTCCTCATGAAAGAACACACAAATAATGGATCTTAGAGTGTAATTTTTATCTTTGCCAGTTTTATCCTTAGAAAATTACTCTGCCCTTGTCCTCCTTTTTTATTTTTATTGATTTCAGAGAGGAAGGAAGAGAGAGGGGGGGAGAGAGAGAGAAACAGCAATGATGAGAGAATCACTATCAGCTGCCTCCTGCACGCCCTTTACTGGGGATTGAACCTGTAGCATGGGCATGTGCCCTTGACCGGAATCGAACCCAGGACCCTTCAGTCCGCAGGCCAGCGCTCTATCCACTGAGCCAAACAGCTAGGGCTCCTCCTTTCCTCTTTTTACCTTTAAGAGAATACTAGAGGAAATGTATTGTTTTGGCATATGGTGCTTTTCAAGTGTATCTTACCAGAGAAAAAGAAATGGTGCCCATACTATACTTTATTGGGATTATTATAAAAAATTACATTTCTTCTGGGGCATGATTTACATTTTGGCTAATTTTACCTTCACATTATAATTAAGTGAAGCATTTATTCCTCTTTCTTAATTCATTTATTAACACAGTGTTTTTTGTGCTTAATCATATGCACGGTGCTAGGGTGCAGAAGGAGTAAGAGCTAGCTCCTGTTCTCCAGGAGTCACAGTCTAGTGGGAAGAAGGCAGAACGAATTACCATCATCTATTGAGATAAGCACTTGGATGAAGATATGTCAAAGTACTCTGGGAGTAACAAGGAAGGAACAAGAAAAAGCATACGTTTGTTAGACCAGGTTGGCAAAGTCAAGTCTTTAGGGCCTAGGATAATGAGAGGGCACTGAAGGGTCCCGGATTAAATTCCTATTGGGGCATGTGCAGGAGGCAACCCATCGATGTATCCCTCTCACATCGATGTTTCTCTCCCTCCCTCCCTCTCCTCCACTCTCTCTAAAAAAAAAAAATCAATGGATAAAATATTCTTGGGTGAGGATTAACAACAACATCAAAAATCTGTCCCCATTGGAAACCAGCCGTGGGTACGTTATTGTTAAGGCTAAATAAGCATCTCTTAATATCTCCTTTGGTTACTTTTCCAGGTGAGACAGGAGAAGAGGTTAAAACAGACATGGAGAAGAGCTGAAACAAAAGCAGACGAAACAGGAGAAGCTGTGGCCCTTTCAGCAGCCACGTAGATAGGTATGGTGACAGAAGGGTGAATGGACACAGGGCGTCCTAACAGAGGACAGAAAAATGGAGGGAAGCCTGTGGTTACAGATCTCCCCTTCGTGACAGTAGCCAGAGCCAATAACAACCAGGGCTTATGACCACTGAAGAGTTTGAAGGCGTTTTCTTCATTGTGGCAATGGGTCAATTCAGTACAGGAAACGAGACCCTAAAATGAAAGTATAAACCTTTCGGTATAGGTGGCTGGAGGAGGGAGTTAGCAGATTTTAGGGAGCTCAGGATAATAACGTGACACAGTTATAATTTCTACGGGATAAGAACGAATAACAAAACGATGCAACCTATACCTAGGATGTCTTTCCTAGCACGGAATGGAAGGCTGGTAGAAACCTTAGAAAGTATGTCATCTAATTACCTTCTCCTCTCGAGTCCGTCTGCTACTGTAGAGCCTTATTCATCATGGTATGTTAAAGATGTTAACGAAATCCCTGTCAAGGGAATTCAAACTCTGGTGCTGCTGCGAGATGAGGCGTTTTCCCAGGGAAAGGCTTCGCATCTTCCACGTGCCATTTTGAATCAAGTGTAGATTTTACACTAATGTGAGGTATTCCATCTGATGTTACCCTTTTGACTGACATTAAAGGTGTGCTAAATTAACTGACTTCTTATTATTTTTTAAAATATATTTTATTGATTTGTTTACAGAGAGGAAGGGAGAGGGAGAGAGAGTTAGAAACATCAATGAGAGAGACACATCAATCAGCTGCCTCCCGCCCACCCCCTACTGGGGATGTGTCTGCAAGCAAGGCACATGTCCTTGACTGGAATCGAACCTGGGACCCTTCAGTCCAGAGGCCTATGCTCTATCCACTGAGCCAAACCGGTTTCGGCAACAGTTGGCATTTTAACATCATGGTCCCATATCGTTAATCAGGTAATGTGCTCTAATGTACAAATTAAACTGTTAAAAAAAAATAAGTGAACAGGATCACACCATGGAAAATCTGCATGTCTACTTTATTTCCATTAGAAAAATATCTGCTATTTAGAATTTTGGTCCACTTTCTTCTCCTTTACGCCTACCATTCAAACTTAAATTTTTAATTTTACTCAAGTAAGAGCAGAATCAGATAGCTGACATGAGAATTAAACATTTCACGTTAAATTTAAAAGATTTCACTGAATTAGCAAATACTCTTTGTTTCTCACGAGTGTGCATCAATGAAATTTATATCACTAACTGGATTCATCACCTCATTCTCAATTCACGTTCAATTGCCCTCATTATATGGTATTTCAGATATTTCAGTCAGCCTTAGACTTTCCAACATCGGCTGTAAAAATTAAGGCGTTAATTCACAAACACGATTAACGTTCCAGACGTGGTAACCCCGGGCCCACTCAGAGTCATGCGAGAGGGCCTTGGACGGCCACGGCTTCGATCTCCACACGGCCTCCCTGTGAGGAAGAGGAGGGAGCAACGTGAAGGTCACTGTTTACAAGCCAGGAGAGCCCCAGAACGCCTCCTAAAAACATCCAGCAACACAGCCTTCTTCACATTAAACTTTTCTGACAAAACCGGTGTGGCTCAGTGGATAGAGCGTCGGCCTGTGGACTGAAGGGTCCCAGGTTCAATTCCGGTCAAGGGCATGTACCTTGGTTGCAGGCACATCCCCAGCGGGGGCTGTGCAAGAGGGAGCTGATAGATGATTCTCTCTCATCGATGTTTCTAACTCTCTATCCCTCTCTGTAAAAAATCAATAAAATATATTTAAAAAAAAAACCCACAAAACATTAAACTTTTTGTTGTTGTTGTTAAATATGGTTTTATTGATCTTTAGGGAGAGAGGAAGGGAGAGAGATAGAAACATCGATGAGAGAGAAGCACCGTCCCTTGGCTGCCTCCCACGTGCACCCCTACTGGGGATGGCGCCTGCAAACCGCTGACCGAGAATCGAACCGGTGACCTTTTGGTTCGTAGGTCAACACTCAACCGCTGAGCCGCCCCAGCCGGGCTGACATTAAACTTTTCCAGGAAGGCAAGGAGAGGGAAACGTTCCCTGTGACCCTCTGCTAGGCTGGGCTGCCGTGCCGGTCATGTTGGTGTGCGTTAGCTCGTGTGGCTGGCACAGCAGCTGTCAGACTGGGCGCTCTCCTCCATTCAGAGGCTGACGCCCTGATGGCTGAGAGAGGTTGTTCAGCCGGTCCCAGGACACATGGCTAAGTGGTCCAGGTTCAAACCATGTCTGTGACTCCGCGTTCAGAGCGCCTGCTGCTATACCCATTACCTTAACGAGCCTGGCAGCCTGATCGTTGCAAGTAACAACCCATTAAAGTAAAACAGGCCCTCACAAACCTGGCTCCACGTGTATAGTCTAGTCTAGTCTCTAAGTAACATGAAACGCTACCGCCGCCGTTTTACTTTTTCTCACAATGTAAGTGCTCTGATTGTGTCGTGTTCATGTGTGGCCTTAATTTTTAACCTCCTGACTTTTTAAGACTAATTTTTTTATTTATTTTTTATATATTTTATTGATATTTTACAGAGAGGAAGAGTGAGGGATAGAGAGTTAGAAATATCGATGAGAGAGAATCATCGATCAGCTGCCTCTTGCACACCCCCTACTGGGGATGAGCCCGCAACCAAGGTACATGCCCTTGACCGGAATCGAACCCGGGACCCTTCAGTCCGCAGGCTGACGCTCTATCCACTGAGCCAAACCGGTTTTGGCTAAGACTAATTTTTTAATTTTCTTAAATCTCTTAATCGCCCCACCCCCTAAGCATGCAATATTGAGTGTTTCCTTTCAGACCGAAAGTCCCTGGAAAGCTGGACCTGCTGCTGCTTTTAAAAGAAGTTTCCTGCTACCACAGTGCTTAGCTTGCTCTCTCCAGAAAGCGATGTAGAAATGTAAAATCATGTACGTTAGACATCTTAAAAAGCGTACTTACTCTGGGCAAAGCTGCAACCTGGTAAGCAGCTCTCGCGGGAAAATTGCTCTTGAAATCTAAATTGAACAGAATTCCATTTTAGCTTCCAGCTACTGTACTGGTACCCAGCACCGTGTGATCTAAACTCCGCAGAGTGCTTCACGGGTTTCTTGGTTCTTAGGTTTGTGCAACGCTAGACAGAGAAGCTCACACTCATGCTTGTTTGGAAAAATATTTTGCCACGTGAGTCCTATGTTATATTTTAATACTTTTAAAAATGCCTTTGCTTTTGGGAGGAAAAGTGAAAATATGTGCTCTGATACTTTGATCTTATTTAAGGTGACCAGATGTCCCGATTTTTAACAATTTTTCCTGTGGCTTTTTTTAAAAAAGTCACAATTTTTTTTAAAGATTCGGGACTTTTTTAAAACGCCACAGGAAAAATGGTTAAAAATTGGGACTGTCCTGCCAAAAGCGGGACGTCTGGTCACCTTACTCTAGTCATTTATTCAGGACAGAGTACGCAATGATGCTTTTTCCAAGTTACACCTTAGTCTCATCTCACCTGTTGGTAGGGACACCCATTTTCTCCACTAAGACAACAATGTTAATGGATAGGTAACGTTTACTAAGTGCTTACAACACACTGGCATCTGTTCTAATGTGGAGAACAGATTACAACATGTCATACAATGTTTACATGTTGTATTATTGTAATTCACTTAAGCATTCCAACAACCCCACTAGGTTTAATCCCTATTTTATATATGAGGAAACCAAAGCGGAGGAATGTTAACTAATCAGCTGATGATTCTGAGAGCCAAAAAAAGAGATGGTGGCCAGATCTTATCACAGCAATCATAAATACAATCTTTGGTAAAAAGCCTGAGAAGGGTGTAACAAAATTAAGCTTTAGGAAAATGTATTCTAGGGAATAGAATATAAATGTCTTGGATTTTTTTCATGGAGGCACACTATATGTGTCCAATCAGACTATCTGTTCTTTTAGGACAAGCTGTATGACCATTTTTTTTTTTTTTTAGCTTCTCCTCTCACTCTTAATTCATAATGCACACTCATAAAAGCTAATGCATTCATTTCTATTTAAAATGGAAAATGGGCAATAAAGCCGAATCACTTACACTGTTTGTAGATGTCGTTGACAGTACTGAAGTCATTTATGTCAGCCAGCAGCACAGTTGTTTTGACCACTAGAAGATACATATATTGTCATTAGGTTAGCTTTTTGGTCTAATTACTTAAAAAACAGTGTGTAGTTCTATGACTGTCTTGATTAAAATGGGACTGAAATTAACACTATTTTAATAAGCAACAAGGATATGGCGTGACCTATTACTGGATGCCACGTGTTCTCCAAAACCAGCAAAGAAACACCAAACGGAAACGGGAGTAAGACCACGTTGCTCACCGTTACTGAAGTCGCAGCCTGCCGCTTTCAGGATCTCGCCCATGTTGTTAAGAGCCTGTGAACCGAGGCGAGAAGGCCGAAGGCATGGATGTTACATTAAAGCTGAAATTCCGTCCAGTCAATCAGCTCTCGCTAAGACTTCCTTAAACAGCTTGCGTTGCAGAAAAATGCCCCCCCTTTTAGGAAATTATATACTCTTTCTAGGCCACCTCTAAATAAATCACACTGGATCCATACAACTAAATTAATATGAAAAGGTCAACATGAAGAGTTACATGATGAAATGAAACCAAGATGCAGAATAGCATGCACACTAAGTTACTGTGTGTGTGTGTGTGTGTCTATATGTACATTTATGATGGGGTAGGCAATGACTGTCTGTGGAAGGACATACTAATATAAAGAACAGTAATGGCCGAAACCGGTTTGGCTCAATGGATAGAGTGTCAGCTTGCGGACTGAAAGGTCCCAGGTTCGGTTGTGCCTTGGTTGCGGGCACATCCCCAGTAGAGGGTGTGGAAGAGGCAACTGATCGATGATTCTATTTCATTGATGTTTCTATCTATCCCTCTCTCTTCCTCTCTGTAAAAAATCAATAAAATATATATTAGAAAAAAAAAAAAGAGAGAACAGTAATGAAGGAAACTGGGGAGAGGGGGGAATAAGGGTGGGGTACATCTTTTCACTGCATGTGCTTTATATAGCTTTTGAATTTTTTGTCTTATCTATGTATTACCTATTTAGATTATTTTTTAAAGAACAAAAAAAAATCATCAAATATTATGAAGTGACTGTAGAGAGGAAGAATGAATTGACAAAACAATAAGTTTTTTTTAATAATGATGTTAACCAGAGTGCCAAACATATATCATTACTAATACTCGTTGATTTTTTTGAGATAAAGGAAAAGAACTCTTCAAAATAAAATATTACTTAAAAAACATGTTTTAATGCCTGTTAGCTCATACTCATGGTATCAAAGTGACAGAGCATAGGAACCCCAGAAATTACTTGTTTTAGCTTACTGAGCTTCTCACATTCTAGCACTGAGGGAGCGACTTTTTATTCACAAAAGGAGATCATGGCTCATCCCATTTCAGGCAGATCATTCCATTGGAGGAAGGCTGAGAAGTGAGTCACTTACAAGAATTACTTAACTGCCCAGCCAGTGTGGCTCAGTGGTTGAGCATCGACGTATGAACCGAGAGGCTGTGGTTTAATTCCAGGTTGGGACACATGCCTGGGGTTGTGGGCTCGATTCCCAGTGGAAGGCATGCAGGAGGCAGCCGTCAACAATGATTCTCTTTCATCATTGATGTTTCTATTCTCTCTCCCTCTCCTTTCCTTTCTGAAATGGATAAAACTATATTTTTAAAACATTAAAAAGGTAGACCAGTTTAGGAAGCTTTAAAAAAAAAAATCATTTAACTGGGTCCTTATGGATATTACAAATGGCTCAGTGAATGCATTAAATTATAATTTGATTCTACTTATTGGATTAGAATGTATTCCCCAGTATTACTTAGAAAACATACTGCAGGTAATCTTTGATATTTTTCTCTTACTAACAAATGCTGACTTTTACTCTGTGGTGGTGAGGTGGTTTATGTGGGTCAGTGACCCTGATTAAAAAAATTTCCCAATCCTCATGGAAGTGGCAAGGTGCTATCCGATTTCAACAATTCAGGGGCCCCCACCCCGTTTTATTAAAATATAGTTGACATATAACATTGTATCAGTTGTAGGTGTATAACATGATAATTTAATAGAGGTATTATTGTGAAGTGATTACCATAATAAGTCTAGTTAACGGCCAGTAATTCAGATTTAAAGTCACTTTGGAAGGAATAATCTTTTTGTTTGTATGTTTGTTTTATTGGTTGGTTGTTAAATGATTCATTAAATTTCCAACTTTTGCCTTGACCGGGGTAGCTCAATACGGTAAGGTTGCAGGTTTGATTCCCGGTCAAGTCAGGGCACATACCAGAATCAACGAATAAACGCATAAACAAGTGGAACAGCAAATAGATGTTTCTGCGCGCCCACCCCCCCTTTTTTCTCTTTCTAAAATCAATTTTAAAAAATTAATTCTTCCCCCTAACTTTCTCCTGACATGCAGTTGTCTTAATCAGTAAGTAACTTAAAAAGCATTTATCTGGTCATTTATTTTAAAACCAATCAGCCCACTGGGTTTTTAATACTCCTCACAATTAAAAAGCAAAGGGAAGGAAACGTCAAATGTGGACAATGACCTACTTGTTTAGCTTCTTCTTTCACCCCTCCTGGCACAAGCTGCCCGCTGGCAGGGTCCATGCCCAGCTGTCCCGAGATGTAAAGGGTCCTATCGACTAGCACCGCCTGACTGCAGGGAACAGAGAGAGAGAAAACAGAAACAGAGGATGCACAGCTGCAAGATCTCTTTGCTGGGACACGAGCACAAAATGTAAAGTTAAAGAACTTTATTGAAACGGAAACCTTTTGCTTACTGAAAAATGTCATCAGGAAAACGAAACACAAGTCTCGGTGAGAAGATACTTGTAAAAAATGGGCAAATGAGGTATAAGCAGTTTATGTTCCGTTTTCATTGTTGCTGCATATGGAGATATACCAGTTTTTCATGGATAAGAATTAAGGAAAATTCACCATGCCATCTGTGTTTATGCAGAATCCTGTTTAAATGGGAAAATGTTGCCCTGACTGGTTTGGCTCAGCCTGCGGACAGAAGGGTCCCGGGTTCGATTCCGGTCAAGGACATGCACCTTGGTTGTGGGCACATTCCCAGTAAGAGTTGTGCAGGAGGCAGCTGATCGATGTTTTTCTCACATCGATGTTTCTAACTCTATTCGTCTCCCTTCCTCTCTGTAAAAAAAAAAAATCAATAAAATATATTTTAGGGGGAAAAATGGAAAAATGTTTTTAAAATACAACAAGAAAGAAAAAGAAAGTAGGGCAAAACTCATGTGTCCTCTGATCTTGCCCTGAAGACTGAGTGTGCAGGGTGCAATGATTTTCCTTGCTGCCAAGGTTCTTGCGAACAGAAGCCGGAGCCAGCGAAGCTGAGGAAGCCTCTGTGCCTGCCCAGCCAGGAAGTCTCTGGACAGCGGGCCCCGTTTTTGCTAAGACGGTGTCTTAATTTGTAAAAGGCTAGAACCTTCCCTAAATCTGGACTCACCCCAACACAAAAGCCTCGTTTTATAAAATCTTGTCAGCACGATTAGGGATAATAGGATAGGAGGGGTCTCGGCGAAGCTCGATGACTCTGGATGGTTTGTGACCTGGAGCGGAACAGCAAAGGCCTCTTTCAGGCGACATTCTGCTTCCTGTAGCCTCTCCAGCCAAGGCTTTAAAGGAATTGTTGCCCTAACCGGTGTGGCTCAGTGGATAGAGCGTCGGCCTGCGGACTCAAGGGTCCCAGGTTCGATTCCGATCAAGGGCACATACCTTGGTTGCAGGCACATCCCCAGTGGGGGGGGGAGGGGGGCGTGCAGGAGGCAGCTGATCGATGATTCTCTCTCATCGATGTTTCTAACTCTCTATCCTTCTCCCTTCTTCTCTGTAAAAAAGCAATAAAATAAATAAATATATATATATATATATATATATATATATATATATATATATATATATAATTAATGAAGGAATTGTTATGTGAAAGTAATGCCTTAACCGCATGGAATTCTGACGCTTCCTTGTGAAGCTAGTTTCTCCTCCTCGTCCTTTCAGATCGTGCTGACGCCACCAAGTATTGTTGTGTGAACCCAGCCTGGAACCGGGAAAGACCACAGAGATCAAACTGCGAAGCGAGGATTGTCATTATACCGCCGGAGCGCCTGCTAACACACCCGGTTTGACTGCTTTGGAGAAGGAAGGTGCTCTGAGGTCGCCGTGAGTCACTGCTTTCGCATCAGCATCAAAGACTGAGCCAACGGTCACAAAGAAGCCTGTCCAGTGTCTTCAGAGCCTCACTTTGTTCGGATCGCTGCCTTGTTAAGAGCTTCTCTTAAAAAATGGGAGGCCGAAACCGGCTTGGCTCAGTGGTTAGAGGCCTTTGGACTCAAGGGGCCCAGGTTCGATTCCGGTCAAGGGCATGTACCTTGGTTGCAGGCACATCCCCAGGGGGGATGTGCAAGGCAGCTGATCGATGTTTCTCTCTCATTGATGTTTCTAACTCTATCCCTCTCTCTTCCTCTCTGTAAAAAATCAGTAAAATATATTTTTAAAAATTGGAGAATATAAAGTTATTCTCTGTTGCAGATAAATCCACTGATTCTCCAGAGAACAAGCCCCACTGTGCTGTGGCATTCGGATGCCACTCGCCGCTTACATAAAACTTGGTGGACCGGGGAGTTCTGAACGCCTGTAGCAGTCTCCGGGGTTGTTACAGCCACTGGTGTGTTAAAACCATTCTGTTCACTCCTCAGCTCTTTATTTAAGGAAAACAGCAGCACGCTTCTAACTGGTGTTTATTTTTGTGGAATGGATTTTAATTTTCTTTTACATCTAACATTCCTCCTAGCCTAAGCATCCTTTTTAAATTGAGAGTTTAACGTTTAAAGTAATGTGTTCGTTCATATAGAATTACCTTTGTTATCTTATTCTTAGCTTTTCCATGTCTTATGCCTTGATTCCCCCCTTTTCTGACTTCTGAAGTATTGATTTTTTTCTTCTTCTTATTTCTTAAACTTCTGGTTCGGCAATAACATATTCTTTCTAATTTAGTATTACTCTTGCATTGTTACATGCTTATTTGACTTAAATTCTCAAGTTCATCCAGCTTCCTGCGAGTAGTTCGAGGACTTAAGACTCTCGACTCAGCTCTCCCCTCATGCTATTCTATGACTCTAGTTCTACCGCGTTTCCACTTAACCTCTTCCCGAGCCCCTGGCCCCCAACTCTGTGTCTTTTTAGTTTCTTTACAGTCAGGCTTATTTAGATTTACTCACATAATTCTTTTTTTGCACACACTCCTGATTGAGGTATATTTTTAAAAAGTGTTTCATCCCCCCCCTGCCCCCACCCCCCCACCCCCCAGTAGGGGCTTGTTTAACGAAAAAAGTTTTGATTTTGTCTCGTATTTGCCCTCACCTTTGAATATAATTTAGCTGGGTATAGAATTAGAGGTTCGTTGTTTTTTTTTTGTTTTGTTTTGTTCTCCCACTTTGAAGAGTTCTCCATGGTCCTCTGCCTCCGTCATTGCTGGCGCGGTGTTTGCTGTCACTGACGTCTTGCCTTTCCGGGTCGTCTGTTTCCTCCCTGTCTGATGTGAAGGGTTGCTCTCTGCCTTTGGTGTGTTCTACACACAGTGTAACCCACGGCCCCAGGACACACAGCAGCCACCTTTCTCCCCGCGGCTCTTCCCAGGCTGCCGAGGGGTCTCTTCCCAGCACCTCAAACTTATACACAACTCAGGGCGTCGGCTTCTATTCCTAAGTGGGATTTAGTACCCCAGCTCCTAGGCCCTGTATCTAGGTCTCAAATCCTCATGGACTTTATACTTCAGCTCATTCTTTTGGCTCTGATTCAGTTTCTCCGTTTGTTCCTGGCACATGGGAATCTCCCTTTTCATCTTTTCAGATTCACCATTTACCAGGAGAAAAGCAAAAGGGCCTTGAAAACAAGAGTTCTTTTCTCTTTGAAGAGTTATTTTCTAGTGGAGTCAAAGACTTCCGAGACAAGGAGGTTTCCTGAGTGCTATTGTAAGTGTTAGATGAAGGGTATAATATGCCCACAGCTCGAACTTCTTACTGATGGCTTGTCTGCTTAGTCTGCCCAGGGATTTCTTTTTTCTTTCTTTAAAAAAAAAATACTTTATTGATTTTTTTACAGAGAGGAAGAGAGGGATAGAGAGTTAGAAACATCGATGAGAGAGAGAGACATCGATCAGCTGCCTCCTGCACACCCCCTAACTGGGGATGTGCCTGCAACCCAGGTTCATGCCCTTGACCGGAATCGAACCCGGGACCTTCCAGTCCGCAGGCCGACGCTCTATCCACTGAGCCAAACCGGTTTCGTCGTGCCCGGGGATTTCAAAGGCTCCTTCTTCATACATTCATAGCCCACATGGAGTGGCACTGAGCTCTCGTTTCCTGTTGAACTTGGGGAGTCTGTCAAAGCCTGTGATCAGTCTCAGGCATGTCCAGATCTTATCGGACTAACTGTTCCAGAAGGAGTACGCGATGCTTCCGTAAGCTAATCTTTCTACAGCTAATCTTTCATCTCTGCCGTGATGGAAGGCAGTGGCTCTCCCGGGGCGCCCCTGAGTCCCCAGCAGCCACGTGACCCGGGATCGTACAGTGCACCCTGTTCCCAGGCCGGTGGTTAGACATCCTCTCCGTCATGGTCCTTAAGTTAAAGTTTGAGAAAGTGTTTGAACGTGGTGTGGTAATCTCTCAAGGTTCTGACCTGAGGTGTCCCTGCAATGTGCTGACCGATTAGCTAATTAGTGACAACGCCCCGTCCGTCCGTCCCAACGCCAGGGACTGAAAGTTCAACCTCTGAATTCCACCTGGAGAGGACCCAGAATTTTCAAAAAGCGCACTCCATGCACAAAAACTCCCGTTTCCAAATGGTTGTAAAACGTGTCTTAATTCACTTTATCGGGATATGAATAGTTGAGATGTTTTTCTTCTCCATAAAATATTGAAAATTGGTACCATCTCAGTGGCCTTGTATCATCTTTGGATACAGAAAAGCACAAGAGGCACAATGACCTGAAAAGTCCCCATACAATGAAGCGCTGGCTGGTGGCTCTTCCCTCGTCACACTTGCATGTTCTTAACAGTGATGGCCTTCCTTTTAGCTTTACAGACAGCTGACCCCCGCCTCTGAGTCAACCAGGGATATTACTCTCATGCTTTCTTTCTCGAACAAAGTACATACTGGAAGAAGGTGTACGATCCAGGCTTTAAAACCCCCCTCCCCTTTAAAAAAAAAAAAGTTTTTATTGATTCCAGAGAGAGGAAGAGAGGGATAAAAACAATGATGAGAGGGAGTTATTGATCGACTGCCTTTTGCATGCCCCTACTGGGGATCAAGGAGGAAATCTGGGCATGTGCCCGGACTGGGAATTGAACCGCGACCTCCTGGCTCATGGGTTGACATTCAACCACTGAGTCACATCAGCCGGCTGTCATCTCCTTGTTTTTGTGAAGGGTCACTGCAGTAAATCCACTGGGTGGTTGAGGGAGAAGGATCAGGGCAGAAGAAAAAAGATGACTGATTTTTACTTTCATTTTATACCTCCTTCACTATTCTTAATGTCTTCTCAAGTTACTATAATCCTCTTCATAAAAGAGATGTGATCTGTGTCAAGAGAAAATATATTTTGATGTGCTAAACAAACCTGTGGAGGTGAATTAACAGCGTGACTAACTCAGCCATTGCTGCCAGGCACCTCCAGAGTATTAGAGAGAGAGAGAGAGAGAGAGAGAGAGAGAGAGAGAGAGGGCGAGCGCGCGCGCGCGCGAGTGGGCCCTAGCCTTTTGGGCTCAGTGGATAGAGCATTGGCCTGCAGAATAAAGGGTCCCAGGTTCGATTCCGGCCAAGGGCACATGCCTGGATTTGATCCTCTCCAGTAGGGGACGTGCAGGAGGCAGCCAATCAATGATTCTCTCTCAACATTGATGTTTCTATCTCTCTCTCCCTTCCTCTCTGAAATCAATTAAAAAAATTAAAAAGAAAAACAAAAAGGGGAGAGAGATCTGATCAGGTTACTTCCTCTTCAAAAACATGTGATGGCTCCTCACTGCATACCAAATGAAGTTTATACTCTTTAGTTTATCATTGGAAAACCATCACAATCCAGACGTGGCTAAAAGCTAATTTTTAGCAAGAAGCAAAGCAAAAATTCAAAGTCTAACTCCTAACCAGTGTTTCCTGAAGTTCAAGTGAAAGTCATACATAAACACTGAGTCGCAGCAAGGAAATTGCTTTTTGATTCTCTTTTTTTATCTGAAAAATGAGGCTGTGAAGTAATTGTGCACACAAAGCACTTAGAATAGTGCCCAGTGCTGAGTAAGCATCAGTAAGTGTTAGCAATTAGGACGTCAGTACTCTGATTACATGGAGAAACAACACTTTCAGAAACAACACTTAAAGAAATAGCACCTTTGCCCTCGCTGGTTTGGCTCAGTGGATAGAGCATTGGACTAAGGACTGAAGGGTCCCAGGTTCGATTTCTATAAGGGGCATGTATCGATACCTTGGTTGCAGGCACATCCCCAGTAGGGGTGTGCAGGAGGCAGCTGATCGATGTTTCTGACTCTATCCCTCTCCCTTCCTCTCTGTGAAAAATCAACAAAATATATTAAAAAAAGAAAAGAAAAAAAAAGAAACATCACTTTTACCAAAGACAGCTGGCTTTAGGTTCCGAGCCAACTGCAGGGTCCAGCTGGAATTTAATAACATGGTTGACTTACTCAAGTTTATTTTTTACTGTTACCTTCTATTGGCTTGTTTCCTACTTAGAGTTCTGTTGTCAAGTTTCCTTTTTAAATTAAGCCATCTTAAAGAGAAGTGTTAAGTAAATTATAATATAGGTGGTACACAGATTTGGCAAATGAATAATAATTAAAAAAAAAAAGAGTAAAAGTGGCACTTGGATTACTAAAACTACCTCCAAACATCTTTATGCCATATATTCTTCTACCTCTATGCCTCAAGTAATTTCCTTTATCTGGAATGCCTGCCCTCCATTTCCTGTTGACGTCTTTAACCCAGTACACGTGATCCTTGAACAATGTGAGGACAGGGGCACCCACCCCCGCGACAGCGGAAAATCACATACGACTTTTGACTTCCCAAAGCGTAACTACTAATAGCCTACTACTGACCCAAAAAGGCCTTACAGATGATTGCCACATATTTTGTATATGAACTATAAACCGTATTCTTACAATACAGCAAGCTAGAGAAAAGAAAATGTTCTTAGGAAAATGCATGTACAGCATTAAAAAAGAAAAGAAAAAAAAAGCTGTGCCTAAGTAGACTCCCACAGGTCTACCCATGTTGTTCAAGGGTAAACTATAATTTAAAAATCAAACTATGCAACGGCATTGTAACGGCAAGCCCAACCTTCAAACCCCAATGCAAAGACTACCTCCCAAGAGGAGCCTTCCTAAATCTTTTTCTTCCTAAAGGTTAGCATCACTTTTTTTTTTTCCTTTTCCTCTTTTGCCACCCCATTCCCCACCTCCCGTACCGCTCACTGCCTTTGCATTTTATTTCTAACCCTCCTGTCACAGTGACTGCTCTGCCATTTTTTCATGACTCTGGTATAGAAAAGGGAGCTGAGGACTGTTCAAAACAAGCTGTCCCTTTCCTTCACAGACTGATCTAAGTTTACAAGCTGTAGATCTTTTAACAGTGAACCGACACTATAAGCTAATTTAAAAAGGAGAAATAGCCCTAGCTGGTTTGACTCAGTGATAGAGCGTTGTCCTGCAGACTCAAGGGTCCCAGGTTTATTCCGGTCAAGGGCATGCACCTTAGTTGTGGGCACATCCCCAGTAGGGGGTGTGCAGGACGCAGCTGATCAATGTTTCTCTCTCATTGATGTTTCTAACTCACTCTCTCCCTTCCTCTCTGAAAAAAAATAAATAAATAAAAAGGAGAAGTAGTTACAGAATATGCTTTAATGAATAATTAAAAATAACAAAAACTGCCGAAACCGGTTTGGCTCAGCGGTAGAGCGTCGGTCTGCGTACTGAAGGGTCCCAGGTTCGATTCCGGACAGGGGCATGTACGTTGGTTGCAGGCACATCCCCGGTAGGGGGTGTGCAGGAGGCAGCTGGTCGGTGTTTCTCTCTCATCGGCGTTTCTAGCTCTCTATCTCTCTCCCTTCCTCTCAAAAAAAAAAAAAAAAAAATCAATAAAATATATGTTAAAAAAATAACAAAAACCATATTAGGAAAATAAAAGACTACAAGAATGCATATAAGATCCAATGGTTTAAAGGTTAGACATTTAAAGAAAATAAAGTCTTTTATAAAAGGAATTGACGTTTCTGTTTAGAAGCACTTATGACAAGTGGAAATAAACATACACAGGACAGACTTTCTAACCAGTATGTATATTTAGAACATATGCGCAACCTTAGACATTACCTTTGTTATGATTTTCATTTGACTTTCCTAGTGGGAAATAAGGATGAGCAAATGAATCCATAAACATCCCAAAGCATTTGTATGGGTACTGTAAAAACCTGTATCTTAGGTAGATGTGCAGGGGTTTGCTAAGCATCTGTGGATAGGATTTACTCCTTCAGTTAAGAGAGGGTTAGCCAAACATTATGCTAAGTCAGCGACTTTCAACCAGTGTGCTCAATAATTTCTAGAACACACAATACCGGACTATTTGGTCAGGGGCAGGGGCACTGACCTCTTTTCCCCTTAGACTGTCAAATAAGAGAAAAGGACAACAGCCAACACCACAATATCTGTCCAGAGTTAATGAATCAAAACGATACCTATTTCCCCCCCCCCTCCTGCCAGATTGGCAAAAGCATATTTTTTTGGCATGCCATAGAATTTTAGGAATGAAATGAAAAAGGTGGGAAAACCCGGTGCTAAGTGAAAGATGTCAGTTGCCGAGGACCCCATATTGTAGGACCCCCACTTCCTACAGGAACTGTCCGGAACAGGCATATCTGGAGAGACCCACAGCGGATCAGTGGTTGCCAGGGGCGGAGGGAAGAGGTGAACTGATATAGGGGTATCTTTTCCAGAGGGTAAAATGGGCTGAGGTTAGTGGCGATGGCTACAAAGGGATGGATTTGGGTGTAAATGTTAGCTCCACAAAGCTGTTTAAAAAAAAAAAAAAAAAAAAAAAAGGAGGAAAAAGTTCAAAAAGCAGACACTTCCAACCGGAGTAACTTTCTGGCTGGCTCCCCCTCCTGTGCTCCTAACTCACTGCGGGTCTCCGGGTGCGTCGCCCCCTTTCCCTGGTTAGGTTTCCTCGCGTGTCCGATGAGATTGCGGAAGAACCCCGAGGTCCTCCCAGCTCTGATCCCGGGGCGGGGGGCTCAGTCCCGTACCCCGGATCCCGGGGTCCAGCCCGCTCCACGCGTTGAGTTACCTGTAGGGACCAATGGCCGCTGGGGCTTTCGTGGTGCTGATCACCCTCCTGATTAAGGACGACATGGCTGACCGCTTCCTCTTCAGGCCCCTCGGAGAGGACAGTCCCGTGCACTCGCACCACCGCTCGCTCGCTCGCGTCTCCCGGCACCGGACGCACCAGCCCCAGGCGGCGATCCCTGCAGACAACGCTCCGCCCCCCCGAGGGCTCGCGCGGCATTCTGGGAGTTGTAGTCTCCGCGCGGCGCCTGGCCACGTGGAGGCGGCAGCGGCCGCACCGCGCATGTGCCGTCCAGCTCGCCTGCAGCGCACGTCGCTTTGGAGGGGAGACTAGAGGAGTAGGACCTTGTCATTCTGATCCGGGTTTCTGCCTCAGACCGTCCGGCAGGTAGGTGGTGAGGGGCTGGTGTTCTCTGGGGGGAGGGAGGGAATAGAGAGAGTGAGAGAGAGTGTGTGTGTGTGTGTGTGTGGGGTGGGGGGAGACCCCTCGCCCGGCACCAGCGCACTGCGCCCCGCATCCCGGGCCCGGCCGGCCCCCCTCTCCTCCTCTCCCCCTGCGGCCCGCCAGCTCCGGGGCCTGCCCTGCCGGCCCCCCTCTCCTCCTCTCCCCTCGGGGCCTGTCCTGCCGGCCCCCCTCTCCTCCTCTCCCCTCGGGGCCTGTCCTGCGGGCCGCACCGCCTCTGCCTCTGCCCCGGCCTGCAGCTCCCCGAGCCGGTCCTTCGGCTGCATTGCCACACTAGGCGGAGCCCTTTCTGGGATCGGGCTTGTGCCCCCTCTCCTCATGCCCCAAAGCAGCCATTTCCAACCTTTTCATCTCAGGGCACACACCAGCGAATGACTAAAAGCCCGTAGCGCGCACACACACATGTAATTTTTTTTTTTTTTTGCTGGTCTGACAAAAATAGGTATCGTTTTGATTCATTCACACCGGGCAGCAGCTATTGTCGTGCTGACAGTTGTCACTTTTTATTGACAATCTAAAGGGAAAAGGTCAGTGCCCCTGACTACATCGTCAGGCTTTGCATGTTTTACAAATAATCCTGCGCACACAGGGCTGAAACACAGCCCTAAAGCAGGAAGCGGGGTCACCCCCAGGTGACGCTGAGATCTGGGCGTTTTCCACCTCCCAGCCGCTCCCAGCTTCCTTTCTCTGGTGGTGACTGGGATCTGATTCCAAAAAGGCAGGTAGGGTTCTCGATCCAGCAAATGGCCCCAGGGCTGTTTTCTTGGCAGATACTCACTTGCTGTGTCAGAAGGGATATATTTTTTTTAATTCTGCTTATAATGCATTATAGCGCGCTTCCCTCTTTCATCTATGCGTGTACGAATGCATTCAGCCAATAGACATTGTTCCCCTCCTTTGTGCAAGGCTCCCTGCTAGGTGCTGGAGATGCCGCAGTGAAAAAGCAGGTGAGACCCCCTTCCCGCCCTGCTCCTAAAATGCCATGTAAGAAAATCCTGCTTATCCCCCTCATTTTGCCCTGTGTACTGCTCAGGTCTAGGCTTTTCTGCTTCTGGCTCAAGGACTTTCAGGGCTTTTTTATTGTTTCATAATGTCCTACAGTACAGTTGTGAAGTACGGAAATACATGTTAAACATTTTTCTTTTGTAACAGTTAGAACACATACTGTAGGCATGTGTTGATGGAAGTTATAGGTTATAATTGGTAGGTTATGCTGTGAGTGAATTTTATTTCAAAATAGAAAACAGATGCTTGAAACTATTGAGGGGAAAGACGGGGAGGATGTCACGTCTGCGAATGACTGAGTAAATCCACCAGGCTCCGCTAGGTTTTTGTCCTTTATTTTTCGGCCTCCAAATTGAATTATTTTTTAGCTGTTGCAAGTTAAAGGTGCAGCTGCCTCAACTCAGTAGTAGAAATGAAAACATCAATAATTTATGTTCAGTTTTTGTAGAGGTTATCATATCAGAATAGTGTGTTCTCTATTTCATTGATTCAAGTGGCTTATGTTCACCTAAAATTTTCATTAAAAGATTAAAAAATATATATATTTTATTGATATATATATCTATATATTTTTTTTTTTACAGAGAGGAAGGGAGAGGGATAGAAAGTTAGAAACATCGATAAGAGAGAAACATCCATCAGCTGCCTCCTGCACACCCCCCACTGGGGATATGCCCGCAACCAAGGTACATGCCCTTGACCGGAATTGAACCTGGGACCCTTGAGTCCGCAGGCCGACGCTCTATCCACTGAGCCAAACTGGCTAGGGCTGGTTATAAATTTCTGTAGTAAATAAATATCATGGTAACATTTTTATATCAATCCACCACTAAGAAAGACTTATTATATATTGAGTTATGAATATTATACTTATTTTTGAACTGGACTTCCCTTTCCCCTGTACTAAATGTGTTACTTTGTTTCCAGAAATGTCTAATGCAAAAGAAAGAAAGCATGCCAAGAAGATGAGAAACCAGCCCACCAATGTGACTTTGTCCTCCGGCTTTGTGGCTGACAGAGGGGCAAAGCACCTCAATGGAGGCGGGAAGCCTTTCCGAGCTCAAAAGCCAGGTAAGACACACAGTGCCCTCTCCACTCCCGTTTGGAGCGAGTTGCTCTGGGCATTTCGGTGGCCATTCGACGGACATGTGCAGAACAGGGGGGGGGGGGGGGGGAGTTCAGTTCGCCCAGCAGATGTTCTCCACTGTAATCCTTATTCCTGAGAAGAGTGACATGTTTATTTCTTTTTAAACAAAAAAATTACACTAGATCCTTCTTCCGGAACGCCACGACAGCAGCCAGCCAGAGTGGCCCACTACTCACCCCCGAGGCCTGATGTGAACGAGCAGTCTTCCTCCAAAGTGACGTTTAAGAAGAAGGGAGGATGGAAGGCGGGTCCCGAGGGCGCGTCTCAGGAGATTCCCAAGTACATCACGGGTAGGTGTTTGTAAAGGAGTCAGGTTGATGGCATACGAGCTCTTTTCTAACGCCCTCGCTCTGTCTCGGCCCTGCCCTGCCTCCCCTCCCTCTCCCCTCCTGCTCCAAGCCTTCCTCCCCTCCCTTTGGATTTGGGCCTGATTCTCTCCCTTCTTCAATTCCTCTCCCTTTCTTACCTCTCTTCTTAAAGCCTCTATTTGAGAACTGTTCCACTTAAAATATTTTCTCCACTCTCTTTTTTTTTAAGTAGAAAATACCATTTATACCCCACGGCATGGCATTCTCCAAAGATGAAACCAAATTTAATGCACTTGCAAGGCAACCCAGATCTATCTATCTATCTATCTTTCTTTCTTTCTTTCTTTATTATTTTTTAAAATAAATTTTATTGAATTTTTACAGAAAAGGAAAAGAGAGGGATAGAGAGTTAGAAACATCGATGAGAGAGAATCATCGATCAGCTGCCTCCTGCACACCTCCCACTGGGGATGTGCCTGCAACCAAGGTACATGCCCTTGACCGGAATCGAACCTGGGACCTTTCAGTCCGAAGGCCGACGTGCTGAGCCAAACCGGTTTCGGCGGTTTTACAATCTTATAATGCAGAAATACCCACTAATCAGGGGTTATAGGTGGGCGGGTGAATCATAAGCTCACGTACCTCAAACCTTTTGTTCTTGGGAAATGTCGCAGGCCGGTGCGGATTCAGGCTGGTTTTTAATGACCGCTCTTTCCTTCACCAGCGTCTACCTTCGCTCAGGCCCGAGCAGCGGAGATCAGCGCCATGCTGAAGGCGGTGACTCAGAAGTCCTCCAACTCCCTGGTGTTCCAGACTCTGCCGCGGCACATGCGGCGCAGAGCCATGAGCCACAACGTCAAGCGCCTCCCGCGGCGGCTGCAGGAGATCGCGCAGAAGGAGGTGCGCGGTCTGCGTGCGTGGTGCAGGGCTTAGGTCCGTCGTTCCTGAGAGAAGATGGGAAGCGTTAACCTAATAGAACTTGTTTAAAATGACAACCAAAAGCACCAGGCTGACTTGGCATATTTTGTTTTCATGATTTATCCTCCCTCCTGCCTCCTTATCATCTCCCACATTAGCAGATCGTTGTACATGACAGCTGTTTTTATTTTTTAAAATTATTATGATTTTTTAGTATAATTTATTTATTTTTTACAGAGAGGGATAGAGAGTTAGGTACATTGGTGAGAGAGAATCATCCATCAGCTGCCTCTTGCACACCCCCTACTGGGGATGTGCCCTCAACCAAGGTACATGACTTTGACCGGAATCGAACTCTGGACCTTCCAGTCCGCAGGCCGACACTCTATCGACACTTAGCCAAACCGGTTTCAGCCAGCTGTTTTTAAATACAACAATTGGAACCCTCCCCCCACCCCTTTAAAAAACATTTTTATTGATTTTTCAGAGAGAGAGAGAGAGAGAAACATCAATGATGAGAATCATTGATCGGCTGCTTCCTGCACGGCCCCTACTGGGGATTGAGCCCGCTACCTGGGAATGGAACCCTTGATCTGGTGTATAGGTCAATGCTCAACCACTAAGCCATGCCAGCAGGGCGTGGAACCCCTTTTAATGGTGTTAAAAAGGTGACATTTCCCTGTCATATTTAAAATATGATACTGACCTTCTTACCAGATAAGCAATTTTAGCTCTGCATTTTGAGCTTAGAGTTGGAAGGTTAAAAAACAAAAAGAAAAACTTGCCTAGCACTTGCCTTTTGACTTTTTCAATGTTGAAAAATTGAGCTTGAGTTTAAAATTTTTTTCAAGTCTTAATTGTTTTTGGCTTGGACTTTCTGAGATTGTCTAAGCTACCCATGTCTTTATTGGTTGATTCAGAATTTCTTTATTATGTACCTTCTGTGTACCAGTATTCTGTGGGTTGTAGGGTTAGAGTTTATCAAGGTCAAGTCCCTATTTGTAAGGGGCCCATAAACTTAATGAAGAGTTTCTCCCACAAAAGTTTAGCTTGGCTATGGAAGAGATTAATAGTGAAAACCACACAGGAGCCTTAACTGGTTGCACATGTCCTTGACCGGAATCGAACCTGGGACCCTTCAGTCCGCAGGTCGAAGTTCCATCCACTGAGCCAAACCGGTCTCTGCTCAATAAAATATTTTTAAAAAATTACACAGGAATGTCGTAGTTTCTAGATTTAATGGGAAATTTTTTTTATCTGTTTCCCAGTGATAACAGCATTTACCTGTCAGTACCTAACTGACATGAGGTGTAGTTTTCCTG